AGTGTACACAGTAGTGTAAGAAAAGCATGATCCATTATCTTTGAAACAAAACTTAGAAACTACGTAATAAATTTATTTTCTAGTTTCGTTTTAACTATTCATTTATAATATTCAGTGCAATTTTACTTGAGGATGTTTCCAGTAACACAAATTAATAGATCCAATCTCCAGATTACGACTAATCAATTGGATTACATCTTAAATGATTTACCTACACATCAGAATAATTTGTGAAAATATCAGATTTAGTGGATGAGTTGATATGACGAATAGAGAATTCAAAATAAAGGTTTAAAAATGAGGAATAATATACGTTGACCATTTAGACAAAGATATAATTAATATATTTATTTTACTGGGATCACATTTTAGTTACACAAAGTATTCAACTATAGATGTCAATTTGTTTATCGAACCCCAAACAAGAAATCTGCTTAAAAACTCCGTAGGGCTCAACTGAACGGTCAATATTATAACTAGGCAAGCATATTTAAAATATTATGAAGACTGAAATGGTTAACATTGAAGACAAGTTAGTCATAAAACATGAACATGCGACTAAGAATTGTCTCGCATTGATTATCTTGTCTGACTTGTCAGATTTGTCATGGAACACTCTATCCTGAATAACAACACTTCATGTCAGATGGATGAAGGAATTTCTTAAAATTCATTTATTTTGACTTAATCACCTCCATATCAACAGAGAGCCTTGTCATACACCAACAACAAGCAACAAATATAAAACTGCTGAATACAGTAGTATTCCCAAACCTTTTAGTATAGGATATAAAATTCTCGGTATATAAACAAGTCATTTCTCGGATGATAAAGAAAAAGGTTATTTGCTGGACAGATTTTTATGAAAGCTTTTTTTGACCGGCGTGAAGATCTAAACTTAACACTCCACTTCTGAATAATGAAGGCTACAATTTTTTCGAGGATCAAACAAACTTGATCATCAGTTGCAATATGGATAAGCATTGTACTTTGATAAATCAGCTTTTAGGAAATATTTTGATGTAAATAAAAACAATTTATTATTATTTATTTATTTGAACACATAAATATTGGTACAGGGGGGGCACCAAATATATATGCGCCACACAAAACAATGATAATTTGAAGAGAAGGAGAAAAGAGAAAAAAAGAAGAAAAAAAGTAATGGACGTGGGGAATTATAAAAAAAAAGGAAGAGAGAGAGAAAAATGGTGGGGGAAACGGAAAGGTACAATCAGAAGAGATCTTTCAGTTAAGGAAGATACAACCACTTTTTATGAAGAAAGTAAAAGAAGGTTACAGCACGATCGCCACTGGCTTCTATTCTGAGCCATATCTGATAACGTCTCTAGCCACTGAGTTACACCGTATCTCGGACCCCAACCAGGGAGTCGTGAAGGACCAACAGAAGCTAGCCCTTTGCAGCTTTCTTTCATACCACGACACCATGTCATATACTGACCACCTCTCCGCTTTTTCCAACCAGTCCCAGAGTCGGCAAATAATGCACGACGTGGAATTCTCTGGGACGACATTCGTAAAACATGTCCAAGCCATCGAAGTCGGTGTTTCAAGATGGTGATACCAATTTCATTATCGTCTCTGTGACCGAACACTCTATGCCGAACCTCTGCATTACTGACATGGTGTTGCCACTGGATGCCAGCAATCCTTCGGAGACAGCGATGATCGAACACAGAGAGTCGTCTAACATCCTCAACTCGGAGAGGCCAGGTTTCACAAGCATAGAGCAAAACTGCTCTCACCGTCGCGTTGTAGATCCGACCTTTTACAGCCAGACTAACATCACGAAGGCGCCAAAGATGGCTCAGATTGGCATAAGCCGCTCTGGCTTTCACTATACGTGCATTGATCTCATCACTCATGCCACCACCAGCACTTATGCAGCTACCTAGATACACGAACTTCTATCTGCTCACCATCCAGAGTGAGTACAGGATTAGAATCCTGCCAGTCTTGCATAAGTATTTTGCACTTCGAAGGTGCAAAGCACATACCATACCTACGGACACTGATTGTCAACTGATTAAGTGCGGATGGCATGGCTTGGGCATTCTCGCACAGTAAGACAATATCATCCGCATACTCAAGGTCGAGAAGTCTTTCTCCAGGCAACAGATCCACACCACCATTACTTACATCCGTCAGAGCTGTTTCCAGAATGTTATCGATGGCAAAGTTGAAGAGGAATGGTGAGATTGGGCAACCCTGCCTAACCCCACTGCTCGAATGGAATAGTGGACAAAGGTGGTTGTATGCCCTCACTCTGCCTGAGGTGTTTGTGTATAAAGCCTTTAGGATGTTAATAAACTTCTCAGGCACACCCTTCTTCAATAGACAATCCCAGAGAACAGTTCTGTCCAACGAATTGAAGGCGGCCCTGATATCAAGAAACACTACGATTGTTGGCCTTTGATAAGTATGGCGGTGTTCTAACACTTGGCGGAGGGTGAAGATATGATCAATACATCCTCGACCAGAACGAAACCCAGTCTGCTCCTCGCGAGTCAATCCTTCTCGGGTTCTGAACAACCTACGAAGTATGACGGAAGCCAAAATAAAGTACTGTTTGTTTAGCAGATTTCTATATGAGTGAAACATAATTATGGAGTGTACAAATGACAAACAAACTAATTATTTGTTTTGATTTTACTTATACCTTGCAAAAACGTCACATGAATGTAAGAATAAATATAAACAAACTTGATGTCTCAGTAATTAAGTGTCACGTGAATGAAGTTCCAGCCAAATTTGCTAGCATTCAACAAGTGACGTAGTACGGATAACAGTAAATAATTGGAAAAAAGCGGAGAAATCAATAAAATACACCAGTAACATAGGGGGTTAAGGGGTTAAGACACTTTCGACTATTAATAACTAGATTAAGGGGTCGAAACCAGTCCAAATTTATTTAGTTAAGAATATCAGGTAGTATCACTGGTGGTCGATAGACGAGTATATGAACCATGTGGTTAATCACAGAGTTATATTATATTATTATTCTCAATTCATAACTTTTTATGCTTATATGCTACACTTCTGATTAACAACCTTTTTGATACGCTCGACAACTCCCACAGTCACATACTAACTCCAAGAAAGTATAGGAGATGGATTATAAGTAAGCTAACTATACAAAGCTTACATGTTGCCGTCAGTTTGACAAGCAATGAATATGTAATAGACGTAAACATTAGGACCGGGATTTCGATATTAGGCTTTCTATACATGTGTGCCTTTACCTTATACATAGGTTGCTTTGTCGAATGTGGGATAGTCACAGTTTTTTGACTTAAATCAGTTGCTGAAACAGAATTATATACTGGATTCCGAGCAATTAACTATTAGCACGAGGACCAGTAATAATTATCTGATTACTTAAACTAAGTTTCAGTTAAAAAGTTAAGTGTTTTGATCAAATAGATATGAGTAAAAAAAAATAATTGATAGCTTACCATAAACATCTGTATATAATTCTGCATAAATATATATAATTGGATGAGTTATTGACTTAATTTCGATAAAAGACTTTCGAAACTAAAACCAGGAAAACAAAAAAGAATCGAAACACAGGGGTTAAAAGCAAGCCAGATTTAAATTATTAAAGCATCTGGGCAAAACAAAATTCTGCCAATTAGTTGACTAACGAGCGATCCAGTGAAAGCCGTTTTCGGTAGGAAATCACGGTTTTTAACAGTTTTTCAGCAATTTATTTTACAGATAGAAACAGACCAGTATTAGGATAGCAAGTTTACCTTAACAAGAAAGGTTTCCTTCTACAGAATCGGATTGCTAGTCCCATCATCAACTCTCCTCCTTCATCAAGGATCAAAAACCTCAACAACACTAGAACGGTTACAGGTGGAAGAGTACTCATATGAGTAGTCCATGTGATTGTATGCTTAACATCAATCTTACTCTCTCGATGATCTTACTTCATGGGCACAAGTAATGATTCGGTGGGAATTATAGTTTGATGCACGCAATTTGGGTCATATTACGAATCCCACCAACTTTCATAGGTGGTCATGACATGTATGAACAACAGATTGACTGTGAAAACATAAGTGATTACTGTTGGTTGTCACAATTCGTGAAAACAATTATAGATATAATAAAAAAGTACGATCGTAATATATTATTAGATTATTTTGAATAATAACAATCTACCCAATGCTCAATTTATTTGAATTTATCAAGTCAAACCTCGGCAATGATACCAACTATAAACATCGTTATGAAATTAAGATTGGAATAATGTGTCTTACATAAACACCAAACTAATTAATACATCATCATAATAAGCTGTTCCAACAAGAAAAATTCATCAATATAATCCATACTTATAGTGTTAATAAAAATAATATTAATTAGTGACCACTAGTTGTTGAAGGTCGCACATTCTAACATGTATCATTAATACTAATGCATACATTTAATAACTTAGGTAATAAAACAACCAACAGTTGTATGTTGCATGAAAATATCGTTATAATAATATTAGGTTGCAATGACATATTAATCAATATAAGTTATGTAATGAGTAAATAACTTCTGACAGAAAACAACAGAATTGAACAGTTAAATAAGCACATAATCCAATAAGACGTCCTTACAAAAAATGGAAGGTAGTTGATCAACCAATGCACGACAGGTAAGTATTCAATTAGTTATTTAGATAAAGAGACTGGATACCAACTGCGTGTTTTCACTTCTATATCGAAGGAGAATAGGGATATACTATTCTTCGAGGGTTAACTTCTCAGATATATAAATCTCATTGTTATTATGAAGGTTAATGGAAATAATTCTAGAGTTTATAATGCGATTTGCATTTATTTCTACTGCAGGCAGTCGGTTGCCTCCTATAGAAAAATAATAGATACAAAGCAATATAATTAAACGTACAATTTTTTGACACCTAAATTTGGTCTGAAAGTTCCATAGAGTTTCTCATCCGGTTCACGATTAATAGGACCTTGTACAGGAGGATCTTCATCCCTTGTAAACAAAAAGTTGAAAATATCATCAGTCACACAAATATTTTTGTAGTAGTAACACTCATAGTAAACAACATGCGGAATTAAATGTTTCAAAAAGTTTTTATTAATACCAGTGAGTCATAAGAAAGTTGAGTACATTAACAGAGTAATCAGTTAAGTGTTAGATAAGGAACTATGGTTAGATATAATAATCCAGCCTGAAGTATTTGCGTTCCATTTTAACAAACTTATATGCCTATCAAGTAAAAATTCACTAATATTTATGTTTAGTTTCTAGGTGATTTTCACCACGCATTGATGTCATCAAATAAAAATTAGAAAATCAAGGCGTATTGTAAACTAGTCTCAGCCTCGCCAGCAGTGCACACCCGCAATTCTACTTTAACAAAATAGAAACCTAAGACTCAAAAAGTTCTCAATTCAATATCAAACTGGGTAGTGAAGGTTCATTTCTAGGAAGTTCCCAAAAATATTTCAACATAATTTTGATGCTCCTTGGTTTTGAAGCATCCCTTAATTGATGTCAGTTCCTAATGAAAGTTAACTCGAAGATACAAAAACATCTTTTTAGAACAGTATGTTCACCTATATCGTTACACGTAAATTTATACTCTGTAGGTAGAATATTCATTGTTATATTCCTAGAACTTTACAATAAGATGGAAAACAACGAAATAAAGGTTCGACTTATACACTTGTATGACATTATTCAGTTAGACAAAATAAGTGAGAGGTTGGAAATTCAAGTATGTCTTATTGTATGATTTGAATTCATAATTTTAAATATATGAACATCGATGTAGTGGTTTATATTTTTCAAATCTATAAAGAGTACCGTAAGACAATCCGTAGAAATTTTCAATAAAACAAATTGGAAAAGACAGGATATAAAAAATATAAAAGTTGTAAGATGAAAGATTTTAATTAGATCGTGAACTTAAAAAGGAATCTTCAATGTAGACAATTTTCCATTGTTTTCAGTGGATGAATGCCTCACATCTGACACGGATTAGCTCCACTGGTCACGCCTTCTCACTAGAACTTTGAGAATTACCTCTCGAAGTTAGTCACTAGTGAGCACATGATAAATATTAGTATAGGGTTGTGGAGGATGTTGATTTTTTTATCGAGATCATGAACCGATCATGAATTTGTTGAAGTTAGACATTAACACCGTTGGATGCCACCTCAGTGATCTCGAGTTTAAGGGTTCGCGCGCGAGACCAAAGTCCTGAGTTCGAATCCCACCCGCAGGATCGTGGATACGCACTGCTGAGGGGTCCCATACTAGGACGAAACGGCTGTCCATTGCTTTCAGGTTTCCAACGGTAATCTAACATTGATAGATTCATGATCACAATCAAAAACTCAACAATCTTCACAACCCCGTATTGACATTAAGGAATGATTGAATGCATATATTTAGTGTTTCGGAACAGTTATCATAGGATTTTCTACCCTTCAGCTTTTATTCTACTCATTGAAATCCTAAATCAGAGGAATGTTAAACATTTGCCAATGTAATTCTCTAACAAAACAGTGTTATTCATAAGTCCTGCTTCGGTTTGGGCATCCGGGCAGTATCTCAGCCCACACACTAAAACCATGATGAACTATCTGCTTATGGAAAATATTCGTTTCTCTCCGACTAACATTGAAATGACTGGTACTATTATTATTATTATTTACTACGTCATTTATTCACTATCTCCTATTTCTACTTTTTGTATCCGTTTCGACTCAGACAGCAGCTCGCCTATGGTAAAAATTCAGCTTTATCTAAACGTTCTCGAGTCACTGCCTGGTTGAAAATTGTATGTTGCCACCGAATCGCAGTGGCTAGAGACGTTATCAGATATGGCTCAGAATAGAAGCCAGTGGCGATCCTGCTGTAACCTTCTTTTACTTTCTTCATAAAAAGTGGTTGTATCTTCCTTAACTGAAAGATCTCTTCTGATTGTACCTTTCCGTTTCCCCCACCATTGTTCTCTCTCTCTTTTTTTTTCTAATTCCCCACGTTCATTACTTTTTTTCTCTTTTCTCCTCTTCAAATTATCATTGTTTTGTGTGGCGCATATATATTTGGTGCCCCGCTGTACCAATATTTATGTGTTCAAATAAGTAAATAAATAAATAATAATGTTATTCATAAGTAGAATGGTGATCTATAATAAAGACTGAATGTTGCAATCACTAATCCCTTGAAGAATTTTACACTTCATGTCAATTTTTATCACAAGCTGAAATCAGTTAATGAACGACTGAATCCATTTTATAACTCTTCAGTAGAGTGAAGACATGGGATCAAACATATGATGTTGATTGCTTAAAGAGAGTACGAACACTGATTGGTTTGGAACCCAATGGATTAAATTTGTGATATCTCTTACTCATTACTTTCGATCACAGCATCCTGCTAGATCTTCGGAGAAATCACTTCGAAGACACTAATGAGAGGACATTTTTAATCTAAAAAAACATCAGTAATTTCACATTATGTTTACCAAGTCCATCAACAAATTCCTATATATATTTAAAAAAACACAACATTTCTATTACAATCACTGTAACGATAACACATTTTGAATATTCAAATTAAATTAATTTATATCAAATAAATATAATTTGATGTCGATATAGTATTAAAAAGAAGAAAAATTTCGAGAGAGAAAAAGACAGAAATCTAAATAGTAAGGATCAGAATTCATTCTAATGATCACATTTTCTGTAGTCATCTTTCATACATGATGTATTGTGGTGTGTGCTACTGACATCGACAGATATAAGTAGTATGTATCATCAATCGAAAGTTAAGTGCCTGGCGGCAGAAGGTTAATACGATCGAAGGAAAGAGAACGAGAACAGTGAAGTATTGCTGTGGAAATGAATGAACAGTGAAGTCTGAGACGATTGATCAACATTTGCAAAAGGAACAGTCAAGTTTGAGATAATTGATTGACATTTTGCAAATGAAGTATTTACTGTATGGTTCTTAGATTTTACTAAGATGTTCTGTAATTTTGTGTTTAAATATATCCCATTGTCCACGCTTGTGTTCTTGTTCACTACAGTATATTGTAATTCAAATGAGAATTTTAAAAAAAATCCATTTTAGAGAAATTAATACTGAAACCAAGTTTGATTTGTAATTCATTTGTGTACTGCCTTGTTTATCAAATACAATAAACACCATGCATACAAACATGAGGATAAACAAAAAGGTTTAATGAAGCGTAGGGAAAAACTAAAAAATAATATGTATCAGTTGACAGGATTCACAATAATACTAAAAGAGAAATGAAACAATTAACAAACGATATCATTAATTAAAACAATTAAATAGGATGATAGAAATTGAGATAAAATGTTGATTGAATAAAAAAGATTCATAAATAAACAAAATTTATGAGATTGACGTTAATAAAATATAATGAACAGAAAACATTGGTCCGACTGATTTGCAAAAAATTATGAATATTTATCAGCTTTTCAATGATCGTTAATATCACATAGTTTATTATGATAAAAGTGTACATTAACATTAAGATTATCTGATATTGATGAAAACTAGATGATAGCTAATCTGTCTGACCGTTTATCTATAAGCTGTTCATTTTGCCATGACTTAGCTGATGTCAGTTCTGATTCGTCATAGTAGTTTCCTCTTCTTTGAGTAGATCTTGTCAGACTTAAAACCTATCGACGAGCACTATCTTTGATTCATAGAGGTTATAGGTATCTCGAAGGGAAGATTTATTGAATCATTGTAAGGCTGAATCTTCAGTTCTTCAGTCTTTCTTTAGCTTCACTTTCATCTTGGCCACAACAACGTGGTGATATGAAACTGATTCAGTTCATCTCTTTGTTCTCATGTCTTCTAGTGGCATTCTGCATTTTTCAGTGATGCAAATATGATCGACCTGGTTCTCTGTAGTGTGATACGGAAAAATTCATATAGCTTTGTGTATCATCAAACCCGATGTTGTCAATTCTGACTATCGTGTTTAAGACTTCCGTCAAAATGATCAAGTCCTTTCCTGGACACTTATCTACGATCGAATACAGTCTCTCACAAAACTGATCGTTGTCGTCCGCGTTCATATTATTGGTGGGTGTATAACACTGGATAACATTCATTGTAATTCCCTCCTTTGTTTTAAAGAATTATTTGATGGTTCTGGATTCATGAAATTTCCATTCTACAAGTACTTTTCGTGCTTCTTTGGACAGAGTTAGAAAAATTCTCTGTAGATGTGGAGCATTTTCCTCGTCGTGAACAAAGCAAAACAGCATCTCTCCCGAATATAACCTTTCTTGTCCAGATTCGGTTCGATAGGTTTCGCCGATTCTGAGAATCGTAAAGTTGCACCACCTCATTTCCACAATTATTTGACTTGTACTCCCAGTCTCCCACATTGTACGGACATTCCATGTACCTATGTTAATTGTTGTTTTTGATGACAGAGAGGATATCATCAGTCTCGTGAGTTCAGAAAAATCTCGGCTTTTAATATGTGTCATAACTACTCTAAACGAAGACATTTCAACTCATAAAATACAGTTTCAATGATTTCCATGACTTTGAGTAGTTAGCTTTTCAAGAAAGGTTTCCTTCTACAGAATCGGATTGCTAGTCCCATCATCAACTCTCCTCCTTCATCAAGGATCAAAAACCTCAACAACACTAGAACGGTTACAGGTGGAAGAGTACTCATATGAGTAGTCCATGTGATTGTATGCTTAACATCAATCTTACTCTCTCGATGATCTTACTTCATGGGCACAAGTAATGATTCGGTGGGAATTATAGTTTGATGCACGCAATTTGGGTCATATTACGAATCCCACCAACTTTCATAGGTGGTCATGACATGTATGAACAACAGATTGACTGTGAAAACATAAGTGATTACTGTTGGTTGTCACAATTCGTGAAAACAATTATAGATATAATAAAAAAGTACGATCGTAATATATTATTAGATTATTTTGAATAATAACAATCTACCCAATGCTCAATTTATTTGAATTTATCAAGTCAAACCTCGGCAATGATACCAACTATAAACATCGTTATGAAATTAAGATTGGAATAATGTGTCTTACATAAACACCAAACTAATTAATACATCATCATAATAAGCTGTTCCAACAAGAAAAATTCATCAATATAATCCATACTTATAGTGTTAATAAAAATAATATTAATTAGTGACCACTAGTTGTTGAGATGTGGAAATCCGCTTTAAAGGATTACATTATTGGTAACACGCTTATCATTTGAAAATGTTACTCTTATTATTATAGCAAGTTTGAATAAGCAAACTCAGTTTGAAAGAGTAAAACCAACATAAAATGTCACTAGAAATTTAAAACATCCATTTCTCACGTTCACCTACAGAATATCATTATCGTATCATCAGAAAACGTACCTACATTATTTTCAAATATGAATTGAGCATTCAGTGTTACGCAAAAATTACAGTGTTAAAATATGGTTAGGTACTAAAATGGATGATAAAGCAACTGTTCATAAGGCAGTAAGGAACAGTAATAGAAAACGAATTTTAAAAGCTCACAATGCGGTCAGTTTACATCACAGCACACAAATTCAAGATGATTTTATCAAATCACTGATTGGTAAAATTAGTTTGAACTTGTAACGGTAAAAGTATAGTATCAGTGCAAGCTTAAAACAAAGACGAATTTTAATCAGTTGTGAGATAGTCGGAAAAAAAGCTTTTATACATAAGTGGTTTGTGTTGAATAAGTAATAGGTAGTAAAATAAATAAACAGATTTTACATAATTAGCGAACCTATTGAAGTTTTCTACATATTATCCTGTCTATAAATTCAAAAAACGATGACATTTGAATTCTTCTAAATAGATATAGGTTTTCCGTCTTCTCAGACCATTATACAGATGGAAACAGATTTCTAAGAGTCCGTACATTGTTCCTGGTTAGGGTTAGAGATTTAGTGTTAGTGCTTAGGTCACGATTAGGGATTTAGAATTGGAATTCAACACAAAAATCCAAACGTCCTCTTTTTGATTCTGATTGGATCATATCTATACGATACCTTTACCCCTGTAAAAATCAATATTTTGAAATTTTCATATTAGCGACGATAGTCATTCGACGACGTAAAATTAAGTGAGCACAAGCATTTCAGTACGTCTCGTATATGATGCAGTGAACTATAAATTCTCCACTTACACCGATGGTAAACACGTCAATCGAAAGTTGAAACTCGAGTAATCAAGCTGTTCGTGTTTCGCCTATACATCTAACAATAGATTTACTAACCCTTTTGCTCACACATCCAGAGAGTTGTGATATATGAAGAGATGATAGAACAACACAAGTTGTTTGATAAATACCCATTCCAACCCAAACTATCAGGTCATAACTCAAAAGCCTTACCATTACTTAAAAAAACAGAGCTCGATACTGTATGAAAAATTGAATCACACAATAACCATAATATAAAACATATGTCAAACAAGAATGGGATGAAGATAGATTTTCTTGATCTCAAAGAGACATCTCACTACATATATTCGTAACAGACAGCAAAACTGCAGTTGGATAGCTATTAGCTTGTTATTTGAACCAAGACTAATGATACATTAATGTACTAAGTAGTACATTCTCTACGAATCCATCGAGAATGTAGTGATATGTTGACACCAAAACTAGATTCTATTTGGTGATTGATCAGTTATCAAAAAACTAACGCCCTCTTCACACTTCCTATCCAGTTCCAGTATCAGCAAGTGATGGTCAGTAAGAAAGGCGTTAGTGACAACATGTGTAAGAAAAGATCAGGATATTGAAGCCGGTAGTATTTTATGATGTCACCATCACAGATCAGAACATGATCTTCACACTATGCCTAGAGGAGTTGATGGACTAGTAGTGTAGAAATATATATGAAACCCAGAGAGGTAATTATACATCCGAAACTTCAAAATTGGTTAAGTTAGTACCACACTGAAAATAGATTAGTGGAAGCATAACTTACCACCGTTTGACAGAGTGAGATGTAGATTTTCTGACGAATGAAGCGTATTTATATAAAGAGATGAGTTATTCATGATAGATTAATTAATCAATCACAGTAAAGTTCTCTGAAGAAATGTTGATTATTCAATTTTTAAGTGTCAAACACTTGTGATTATATCTAACCATACCTGGAAAGGTTAAAAATTACAACTACGCCAGTGGTGATGATTCACAAACTAAGAAATCACATTATATACGCCAGAAAATGACCGAAATTTCTATGCATTGATACTTATTGTTTTTTATTAGTTGCAGATCCTACCGAAGATCACACAGTACACTTTATATTACTGCACAACCTTTACCGAAAGTGAGATTTATTCTCATATATGAAAATTATATGAAACATGAAATAACTCAGTGAGGATTAGGGTGGATAAAAGATACCATATCAACCGGTGTGATATGGTTTTCTAATTATCACTCAGAGATGAGATTCGAGAATATGTAGGCTACTCATAGACCTGATGAACCAAAACAGTAGTCAGTGTTAACACGAAAATCGACTGTAATTTGGACAACGTAAAGTTGAGTTAGACTAAAGTATTTGTTAATTGTGTGAGAATCAGAAATGATTCTTTGCTATTGAACTGAAAACAAGTACAGTGATAGCTTGGTGGTTAAAGAACTTGAATTCCAACTAGTAAGATATAGGCTTAAACCTTGTTTCGCCAACTTCAGTTTGTGCAATCAAATAGTAACATTGGCCCTTATACAAACTATTTGCCTCAAAGCCAAGTACACAAAACTTTACTTCATAAATCCGTTATATCAAAGTAAAAAACACTGTAAATTATATTAAGAATCTTTCTAAATCAACCACACAAAAGAATGAATTCGTGAAATCTCCAAAGTTTTTAAATAAATAATTATTCAACGCAGAACAAATGAATACAAACAGACCTTGGAATGTAACAGAAATCATAGAGATATATTTCAAACACACTTTTATTACTTAGTCAGTTGCTTTCCTACAAAAGTTCCTCTACTAATCAATTCAGTTTAGTATTAACTATTACAAATTATAAGTAATATATATAGTACACTTTAAAAATGTTACGTTTAAGTATTTTTTTCTCGAAAAAAAAGGGAAGACAGAACAAACGTTTTAGTATAAGCTGAATAAGAATTATACGACCAAACTATACATTTTTATTTTCATACTTATGATGAAACATAATATAACTGGATTTAAAGTGACACTTATCAACAAGTGGCAATAATAGTTACACTGAAAACAAATAATTGAAGGATATCGAATACTGTGAAAGCAAAGGAGAGATTTAACAACATAATATTGATGTTACAAACCGTGCAATTTTCAAAGATATAATCAATTTCAGATCGTGTAAAGTATTGAAGTATGATTTCCGAATGTGATTTAAATTACTCAGATAGGATCTTCTAGGTATACAATTAGCAATCAGATGTTTTTAACAATAATAGTGATAATAGTAATAATACATGATAACGTACCCAGCTCTTTTATAAACTGATAATTCTTCTTCAACCTCAATCAGACGAGTTTTCAATTCATTACGTTCGATTAAAACATTTCGAAGTTCTTGAAGGGTGAAATGAGGACGATTTGGATTACGACCATCAATAATCATTTTGCCTTCAGCATTAAGTCGTTTAACTAATTGTTCCTCTGTTAACTGTGGAGGCTGTTTAGAAGCAAATAAAGCAATTCATCTTAGGCACACAAAAGACAATTTAAGCGAAATAGATAAAAAGGGGTTTGCATTTAATGGTTTCGAATCTTGTCCAATTATTACGCAATACATTTTACCAGTTTTTTTAATTCCAGGATTCTTGTGCAAATTTTTCATTACCTCTAAAATCACCGCACACCTTGTCTTATGTCTCTGAGCTTCACTTAATTAATACATCACCCACCCCCATGTTTTTTATTCTAACACCAAATGACCTCCGATCTGTTCTTACACACAAATATATAGCTATTATTGATAGCCTTTGTCATTCCAATTCTTTACATTCACTTATGTCAATTGTTTCACACCATATCTTACCTCAATGTAAATTTTAATACATACTGGATTGTAAGCTGCTGATGAGAAACCACGATGTATAATGAATTCATATTATTTTGCATCCATGTTTGTTCTGGCTTTGTCCAAACTCAAATAAATTTGTTTGTTCAGTTAGTGCGGTGAATTTCATGTGAAAATACTTTTATGGTGATATTTTTGGTGAAAGATGGAAATTTAGCTGAAATATGTTGCTTTCAAAACTCATCGGTTGGATAAGCGCTATAATCCCATCCGGAACAAAATTGAACACTTATCACTTGAAATACTGAGAATGTTGATTGATAGATTACTATTGAATAAAGCTAATATCAGCGATGTTGTCGTTTCTAATTCAAAGATTGCTTAACATCATTTTTTCTGCCAGAAAATAGAATAGAATAATTTTCGGGAGAAAATTAATGAGAATTTTTAGGTGTACGGGTAAAGTTGATTCTCTCTCTGGATAGGAAGATGGTAATTAATTTTAACAGTTAATTATGATATGAACCACTTGTGACAAACTATCAATTTAATATATCCATAGATAAGAATTGCATAAAATAAATAACTTTGTAGACTATAAAAACTTAACTGACCCAATATGTTCGAGGCAATTTAATATAGGTTGTTCACTAGAATTGTTAAAGTCTAATTAACCGATGATGATCAACTAAGATCGATATCGGATTATAACATTTTGACTGATAGTCTACCCCAAAGAAAACCTATATATGACTACTTCGTTACACATTTATGAAGCCGAGAAATTGGAGAAACGTGCAAACCATTGAGTGGCAGCTCAGTAGTCATGATAATAAGTGCTCGCCCTAAGGTTCTGGGTTCGCCTCCCGGTGAAGTCATGGATGCTCATCGCTGACGGGTTACATACTAAGACAGGGCAGTTTTTCAGTGCCTCCTAGTTCTCAGTGGTTGTATAACCAGAGTCAACCTCAGATTTAGAAATGACAATACCCTATGCTAAAAATAAACAATGGATGAGATTAAAGGGGAAACCACCATATATGTAGAAAGAGAGGTTTACTTACCGGAGTCTCTGGAGATATCAATTCAGCGATTAAGGATTTCGACATATCAATACAAATAGATGATTCGGTATTATTGCAATTATTATTATTACTATGATGGATATGTTCTTCCATTTGTTTAATTTGCTGATCTTTTGTATTAAGTTGTGTCTCTAAAGTTAGCTTCTCTTCACGTAATTGATCCGCCTGTTGTTTACTGACAAAATGTTTACGACGTAGTGATGCATTCAGTTTCGCTAAACGCGTGGCTTGTTGTTGCATCTGATAGGAGTTAAAAAGAAACAAATATAAAGTGGTGAGAATGAATGAAATGATGGACATATAGAAGAGTATACTAATGCATAAAGATAGGATTTTGATGAGGGACTGAAGAATTTGATGTGTTACTGGAAGTGTGAGAGGACCAGACTGATATTTATTTTATATTGGAGTTCCTTAGAGATGAATACTCTCTGATCTTATCGAAATTAAATTTGGCTCTTTTAGATCTGCAGAAAATTTCGTTACCATTTAATTATTTCATACACCTACACCACTCATTTCACATCTCGTAATTAGCAGTTCCAAACTTCATTCACCTCTTTCTTTTAATTAACACCACGGTTATTCAAAGCTGGTAAGATGAAAAACAAAAAGAAATATTTTAGCGACTGAAGTGAGTACATAAAGAGAACTTTGTTGAGAGAACAAAAGCTTCGAACTTCCAGGTATGATGTAAGATTATTAGTACATAAGTCGCTCATACTCGAATTTTATAACCAATCTGGCACTGAAACATTAATGCACATGGACAAGTTTATACACTTCTATAATAACAAAACTCTATTTCGTCTTCATTACCAAATACAGGAGGATTTTTACAAACTAATATTTAACCATTATGGTTAAGCGAGATAGTTTCTCAAAAATATTATTCCTTGTACTATGATGATGATGTAAAAAGCAGAATTCCGGACACTAATTATAAAATTGTTACATAGGGTATCTTAGGTTGAATTCCAGGCAGATCACGTGTTGGCTTAAGGTCGTGAGTTAGGTGAGAGTGCGTGCGTCAAACTGTAAGAGAACTGCTCACTTATCCAGACTCACCACCCAAGTATCTTGCCTAGAATGGTATATATATATATATATATATATATATATATATATACTGATTTGTACTGATTTGACCTTTGACATCAACGTCCTACCTATTATTAGCCTTCTTACTCTGTTAGCTGGTTGGATCAATGTTAGGAAGCATGTAATTGTGTAGGAATCTGGTTGACAGATCGTAAGACTTTTTAAATACTAGTCACAATATCCTAGATATCTTCGAATATCATTGGTCGGATGGCAATGATTTAGTAAAAACATCTCAGGGCCAGGTATGAAACCTGGTCGAGCGATGATCTTGTGTTTAGTAATTGCTTAGATTTATGAATTTGAACCTCTTTTAAGGTAGACTCCTCTAAGTTTAAAATCTCTGTTAGATCTTGAAAAATCACTTTAGCCTTTTCATTTCATGAAAAACACCATACATAATTTACATCATAAAAATATTAGTATACTTGTCTGTTTATTATCATTGAAATATCAACCAAATAACAAAAATTAATTAAATCTTAGAACAAAAAGCATTAATTCATAAATTCATCAAGTGTGGTATGTTAAAATGATGCAGTGTTTGTGCATCCATTAGAAATCAACTATTTTGAATGAACTGGAATACAAACTTGTCATATATCACATACAAATTGATTAAATCAACTCATACTTAGTAAACAAAACCAAAGAAACTCAAGATACGCAACTGAGTTTATAATTGTGTGCCAAGACTTAAGAAATTCATTATACTATCTAACTGCTAGTGTGCACTGACTGTACTTATGAGGAAGATATTTAATACAAATTCTACGAACTATACAAACCTAATTCAAGCTCAAGATATACAGCAACAGCACTTCAACTAATATGGACACGCACGTGCAGTAAGAAATTAAAGAGTAATGTTTTGCAAAAGACTATTTTTTATCGCTATACAAGGTGATAGTCTATACATATACAGTTGGTAATTATTTTTAGAAAACATGAGGCAAACAACATATTAAATAAGGCAGTCCATTAAGGGAAACACATATCGTTGTAGGGAAAAGTTTCGAAGAGAGTAAAGTAATTTCTAATACATTTACAGATGAACTAAAACACTTATCAACGACGACATAAAACTAGCAAATCAAAATCCCAGTTCTAACTAAATATTTTGAGAACCAAAGCATATAACTTGAAATATATATTTCTTTCTGGAGGTTAGAGAATTACTAAAAATAACAGTACACGTAATTTAAAAACTAGTAAATTTCTTCCAACTTATTTGCTAGGTACTTGGTTTTGAGCCACGCTGTAAATGTAAAAGAAAGTGACACTACACGGGTTCCCAGACTGAAGTAGGCGGAATATGGTTCGAACCTGCGACTTGGCGGCTAAGGGTCAGATGCCCTAACCATTGAGCCACCGTTCTATTTCGGAACTAATAGATAAAGGGCTGGCAGTAATTAGTCATCACATTAGTATTTTGATTGGCAAAATGAAATGTGATATCCTCTAAAAGTTTGAGTAAAATAAGCAAATAAAAAATCATTTACAAAGTGCTTATTAGCATGTTGATATGGTTTAACATGAAAATAATAAGTTAGCAAAAAATAGAAAGGAAGGTGAATTTATATGCAGATATGAAATCCGCATTATAAAGCTAGCTTATTTAGTTTGTTGTTGATGTAAAACAGTTTGGAATAACCAGTGGAAATTGAATTTTTATATAAAACTATAAAACAAGTGAGAAATCTAGGAAAATGAAAAACAAAAATAGAAGATTTATGACCAAACATGAAATGAAAACAGTTAGGCAAATACTGAAAACTGAGGGAGTACTTGTCAGTTAGTCATAAGTAACGTAAAACCTAGTAACTATTTGCATCGGCTCAAGTTCTTATACCACAGCAATACACTGAGATGAAGTTACTAGGACAAATACCAGAATAGAAGAAACAGTAACAATATCAGTCTTAGTAGAAGGGGCGCTGGACAAATGTTTTATTCCAGTCATATGGATTAAAGTCAGGATCACTGGGTTTCACAATAAACTCCTCTATTTAACCGTTAAATAAGTATCTGGCGACAGGTAAAACTTTCGTATGTTCTCTTAATGATGTAATGAAAAAATTTTTAAATCGAAAGAATTTCTACGAATTGTTAAACCCAACAAAAAAACAAGAAAAGGTAGAAGTGGACGGATGAATAAAAATTATTTGAGATTAATTTAGATAAAATGATAATTTTTTAAGAAAAGACATATGACAAAGATGTTTCATGAGTAACACACGTATACACATAAAAATGATGAATGAAATGAAGAACAAGCATAGATCTGAAATGCAACATAGTTTACAATATTTACATTGCTTAGTGTCTGTCGAATGTGCGAACTGAGGTTATAAAAACTATAGTTTACAGAGTGCACTAGTTCTAGCCCTTCGTTTTAAAATACTACCCATTTTTCCAAACCCACTTCACCTATCTTTGTTGTCGTTAACCAACACTTGCTTGGAAGTCCCCAGACGTTAGATCTTTCAACTATCTCATTGTTTTTATTTTAAAAGGCAACTCTTTCATATATATATATATATATATATATATATATATATATATATATGACATGTAAAGAATAAAATAGTATGACCACATTTAAATGGGCGGCATTCACTAAATTAATTCGTCACACAAATAGACCGGAATCCATTACTACTAAGAAATAACTAGACTTACATGGAAAAGTAAAATGTAGTGATGGGTTGAATTGTAATGAAAATAAAAGTTTACAAAGTATTGAAAATTTGTATCACAGAAGATTGAGTTTGTGCACTCGCTCCTGAGTCATGTGTCATTTATATCATCCGGCTACTCAAACCAAAGTAAATGGGTGTATGGTTCGAATTTGGAATTCAATGATTGACTGCTAGAAATGGTATCTTAGCTACTGCTTTACCGTTAACAATGGTTTACAGCTATGATTTCTCAGTACATTTGGAAGTAGTCAAAATATAAAAATCGACAGTAAATAGGCATTTATCACCGAAACGATTTGTCGATCAGTCAAATCATATCATTCAGAAAAATATACGTTATTGTCATCATTATAATAGTGACATTATTTATACGGATAACTTCATTAACTAATATGTTTACTATTACAACGTACATAAGCGCGGAAAACAAATGGATAGAGTGAAAGAAAACAATTCAGAGTAAAAAAGAACACTAACAAAAAAATCGAGTTTTGTAATCATAAAACAAATCATCACTAGTTTACAATGAATAGTAATCTATAAGTGTTATGTAAGATGTTTAGAACGGTAACACATAAATTGGTTTTATTTTGAATTACAGAGTTGATTAACACCCCTCAATATGATTCTAGAAAAACTCGCTAAACTTATTTTTAATAGCTCGAAAGGAGTACACCGATAGGAAAACAAGTGCATAGCAAGCTACGCAAAAGAGGAAAGAGGTGAAAACAAAAGAAAACAAAAAATGATTAATATTAAAGCAACTAAAATGTTGACCACTTAAAGCAATGATTAAGATTGTAAGTTAAGCCAGTAGTGTTAGGGATTAAATCATGCGTCGTTGATGGTTGTTTGCCGTAAATATGTTTTCTTATAACAAAAAAGCACCTACTACAATATACTCTTCATAGACATCATTAAAACTAAACAGAGAATAATAATAGCATAAAATAATTGTTCGTGAATTTAGAGTACATAAAAGATGAAGGATATTCGACTAGTTACCATTGTAAGCTAATTATTAAGAACATATGACTTGGTACAAATACAGGTGAGGCTTAGTTAGTAAGTATTACACTAGCGCAAGAGGAAAACTTTTTCTTAAACCAATGCTCAAAATGTTATTTTCAATGCTAAAGAAAAGCCAGGCGCGAAGAATGTATTTAGTTTGAAGAGAAATATCCAAATTGGACAGAGGAAATTACGAAATAATATTGAAACTTAGTATTCCGGAGAAGACATTTTCGAAAAGAATACATTTGCACTACCATTATAAGCGGTCTAGAGACATGTTTTCGTCTGAGATCCATAATAATAACAGATTATGATTTAATTAGCTACCCATTTAGTCTACAAGAAATTATTATTAGTATTTATTATCTTTGATGTTAACTAAAGTCCGTGTTTAACAAATTTTTATTCTATATTTGACTTCAGAATTTTATATGATTCACGAAGAAACAAACGTCGTGACATGAGCAATCATTTACTACTCCAATATTGTGATAACTAGTTTTACACCAATATTCACAAAATTAATGAATAACTATGTTATTCATTGGTAAAACGCAAGGAAATTCAATATATAAGATATTTAATTTTTAAATACAAATTGACAATTAATTATAGATTTGTGTGCATAGTTTTAAGAGCGAGTAATAAAATAGAGTGGTTGACCAAACGGAGGTAAAAGAAATACGACTTATATTCTGTAATTCACTGACCGAAGACAATACTTACTGAAACTGCCATCACTACTTTTAATCTTATGTACGTACACGTAGTACATTGGTATAATTGAAACCATTTAAATGTTGAACACAATTTGTTAACAAAAATGGAAGTAATTTTTCATTTTTAAGTGATTGATAACGTATTTAGCATTATACCCGTAATAATCATGATAATAAATAGTTTGAAATTGGAACGGAAGAACTTTGTACGTAAATAAATCCATCATTAGTTTATAACGACCAGATACACAAAATTAAGGTTAGATAATCGTATTTTAGTCATTCACAATGTTGTGAAATGAAAATTCCGGAGCAAAGTTTGAAATTATAGATAAGTGTTAACACCCACTGATACAGTGATCAAATATTCAAGATAATAAGAAGTCAGTTTTTAATGACTGAATGTCCAGTAGTTTGAAGATTGGTCAATATCGCAGTTTTTTAAATACAATGTTATTAAAACGTGATTAGAAAACAAGAGTAATGACGAATAAGGATATACGTACCGCATCCAAATCAACATGTTTTTGAGTAAGCTGTTGACGCAATGAACGAATTAGTATTTTCTGACGGTCTATAACTTCTTTAAGGCGTATCATAAGTTGTATTTCCTCGACATTTGTAGAATCTAGAGTGTAAATAAATAAATAAATAAGGATGCTGAACAATGAAACGAAATGGAAAACAGTAAAATCATTTTCCTAAGTGAGTGAGTCGATCATGTGAAGCGTAGAGCCTTACAAAAATACCAAGTAAGATCCTAAAGTAGTAAAAAGAGTAACAGAATCAGTAGTGATAGAAAAGATTATGCATAGAAGTCGAAGAAGACGAAATGAAGATTTCAAGACTCAGGGAAGACAATGAACGAATGCACCTGGGCCACTGAGAACTATTTTCAGCCATTTCATCCAAAGTCTCTAACATTTTTAAGTATTTATAATAAGTTTAGTATAGTAAAATTTACTAAGCTAAAATATAATCACTAACATAGGATTTTTGTAAATACTGGTTGCTTTTTGTTAACTTCTATCATGAGCAGATATCACTTAGAGAACTATGGAAAAGCAGAAAAAACTGGATAGTCGATCTAGAGTATACTGAAACTCAGTAGTGGGTACCAACAACTTAATAAGTAACGGAACCTACGACCTTCAAGTTTCACAGTAAAAGGTCATGTGTACCCATTATCGATGGATCAAAGAATTGAGTTAAACATTTTAAATACACTACGGTTTTCAGTTATTCTGTAAACAGATTTAGTCAATGTTCAAATATTTAAATTAATTGAAGAACGGTGTTTGTATGCACGGTCCAGATAAACCAAGCATCATAACAACTCACTGCCATTTTATTTCATTGAAAGTAAACGAATTAGTGGATGGCACTGACAATTTAATAAAACTTCATTGAGTCCAGCGAGATATATAACACCCAATTGAACTATCATTATATCTTCTTTCGTAGAAAAATACGTTTATAAGTGCGTTAAGTCAAGCAGATATGCGTCAAAAATTAAGACTGAAATAATGGGATCCAGAATTTCCCGATAATTATCGTCAATATCAACTTCTAATTGGGTTTATAAATTTATAAGCATTCTGAGATAAGTTAAAAATTATATTAAGTTTATATTTACATAACAAGTTTATAATGCTACTAAAACTTTAAGGATAGTGTGAATTTTTATTCATAGTTAATGGCGAGTTAGAATGAAATCTATAAATACACGTACATATTATGGATTTTCAGAAACTTTAAGGGTATGACCTTACTTGCAGAACAAGCCGGAATCGGTGAATGGTTGTTCGATGCTTCATTATCTTCAATTGCATCTTTAAGTTGTTTGTTTTCTTCTTTTAACTTCTCAATTAGTTGGGAAAGTTCCTGAACTTCAGAATGCCATGTCTCTTCAATTTGTTCCAACTCCTCAAAGAGTAATGACAAGGAAATTTATCATTAATCAAACTTTAGCGATACAACTTAGACGTTAATGACCGGATTATTAGCTATAGTACTATGCAAAAGTTAATTTCTGATTACTTGAAACAAGGTGTTAAGAGCAGATTTACAGCTCCTGACACTAGAGTTGTGTATATATTAGATACCAAACGAGTAATAATTTAACGACACTAACGATACTCAAAAATGCACATATACTGGTAACAAAACGAAATTTCCTGGTATAAAGCTTTTAAGTGTCACAATATATGGAAGGCGTTTAAAAAGCTACTGATACGATACGTCTTACACGACCTCATAATATAGACAGGAGCATTAAATTTCATTGAAGGGAGTTACTTTGAAGTAACTAAGTGGGGATTCGGGGTTTAAATGACGGCATAAATTTGGTACGAATCTCGACTGGGAACCAAATATAATTTGGTATATCTCTAATAGCAAACTACACAGTTTAATAAAACAGTCGATAAATGCTTTAACTTTACCATAAATAATAACTTTAGTTATCGGATTTTTAATAATTTCTTCAAAATTCATTGTTCACTTAATTAAATAGGCAAATACGAGTTGGTTTTAACAATAAGAATATAATACCTGTTGATGATAAAGATTTTCTTCCGGTACATCTAACATTGTGTATGTTGTGTCATAAGTTGGGGGAAATTTTTTCGCTGTTATAACCTGGACCTTATCACAACGTAGTTCGAAATATATCAACGCGGTAATGAACGAAATAAGTGAACGCAATTAGTGGACATCCGCAATCTCATTTCAACACTACGTCTTTAATATTCGACTAGTCCCTAACTATCAAGAGAAACAACCGAAGTGCGAATATATATTTTATGGAGAGATAGGATTCCTTACATAAATAAACTCCTTTTTAGTATTTAATAGATGTCTAAACAATTCTGAATTCAAACGAATTCTACACTAAATACATGTCAAATATGAATGAAATAATTATTAGAATACAAAAGTTGCATACTGAGATAATTAACAACAATTTATAAAAATATAATCGTGTGAACCGAGAGATTAGCACACTAAGGGATCAATAATTTTACTTTGATTGCTTCTTGATGCCAGTTCAATATACGATAATGATACCCAGAAATTTTCATTGACATTATTTCCTAGGATTTATTCATGATGATTAAGTAACGGCTTATTATTAAGCCTATCTACACCAAATAAAAGGAAACAAGTTAAAACAACTGTAAAAAAACCAACGGTGGTAGACAGTTGTTTAGCAGACAGGTAGTCTATATTGCTAAGAGATGAGTCACATAGATGAATCTCAAAGCTCATTGCCAATAATCATGACCTATATATACAGCCCCGAATGCCCTGGTATGGCCGAGAGTGGGGAGAGTCCGCCTCCTTCTCGAAATGCTCTCACACGGCCACGCGTATATAGCCTCTGCCAGGGAAGTCCTACGCACTGCCTTCTCGTGGCGGGGGTGTTGTTTACGAAAATGAGAGGACGAAAAGCGAACGTCCGACGCTATGACCGGACCCCAAATCAATGGTGCACATGGGCTCCAGTATCCTGAAGGAACAAATGGAGTATGAGCCAGTTTCTTGGTCACCGGCTTCCATGGAACTGCATCTCCTCACGATGCTCCACTGCCTTGTGGGTTAGACTTTTAGGTCGAAGGCTCGGGGTGTGGACCCATAAGAAAACCACCTGCTCCGGTCTGGGCACCCGGGCAGTATCTCAGCCTACACAAAAAGGTGTGGCGCATATATATTTGGTGCCCCCTTGTACCAATATTTATGTTTAAATAATAATAATAATAATAATAATAATAATAATAAAATGCAACACAATGTCCAGTTATACGTACGAAATATGAAATAATAAAGATGAGAATGTATTATTCATTCTTTTGAATCACTCAAGATTTTTAAATTGCCCAGTCACTTATTTATCGGCTGTAAAGATCGAAAAGAACGTAAACCTACCTTTTTATGCCTGTTTTGATCTTCTTTACGTTCCAACTTTTCAAGTTCTAACCGATGTACGGCTGTTTGAAGGGTAATAATTTCTCTTCCTTCAGACTCAAATTTTGTTGCGAAATCTTCCAATTCTTCAAGGACGCTTATCACTTTAGGCATTAAGTTGGACACTGAGTACGGTCCATATTTATCAATGATAGACTCAAATTCTTTACCAATTGAAGCAGCTATGTCGTAAACGTCGAGAACAGATATAGACGGTGTAGATGGACGATCGCTTAGTGCTTCGGAGGGAAAAGTAACAAGGGCTTTATTTACACCCTCCAGGCTGAAGCGACGAGTAAGCCTGGGGGAGTTATCAGGATGAGACAACAGTTTGTATAAGCTAAATGTGACGAAAAAAGTGAAAAACTGCGTGATTTCAATGTCAGTATTTAATTTTCAGTCAACAAAAATCGATATTTACCAATTAAATCCAAATTATAGTAACGCTGTATTTATAAGTATTAGTGTGGCATATATTTGACTCTTTGCAAAGATTTATAGAATGGTCAACTAAATTGACGCTTTTAGTTAAGGAATTGTAGTTCTTGTCCAAGATCATTCCAAGTTAGATTGAGCGAGAACCAACTTGATACATACGAGTTAGATAGGAGCATGTCGAACAACAATACAAGACTTTGCTTGTCTTAAAGTAACACATTGGTGGTGAGAAATACAAATAACTTTTCAGTAAGATAACGTACTTATTTAAACACATAAACATTGGTAAAAGGGGGCACTAAATACATATGCGCCACACAATAACAATGAGGCCATTAGTAGTTAACATATAGTCTTCTATTAGTTATTTTCAACATCATACTAGGGTAGTAAGCTGTACAATTTTTACAAACCCATTTAAGGAGTCTTGGAGTATCAGAAGATGCCAATCCATCATGATTATTACTGATTTCGTGGTACCATGTTACAAAATGACCACCAGCTTGCATTCTCAATCCATTACTACAAGTAGTGTTTCGTTTGAGTCATGTCAGTAAAGTATGTAAAACATGACGTAGTTGTTTAGGACGGTGTTCCAGGATGGGATAACGGGTGCATTATCTCCTTCATAACCCAACACACACTTAAGTGAACAGGAATTACTGATGCGACATTACACTGTAAACTCTACAATTGGGCTCCTCTGTAGAAAAATGGTAATCTTAAGAAATACTTGATTAAATTGACTCCCTGTGGTAGTCCTATAGTGAAATAAAAATCGAAATTTGTTTTCATTTTTATCCGGAACTACTGATTGTCGTGAACTTGGCTGACAGATCACCATGATAATTGTAAGACGATATGAATGCCTTAGGAATCAATCGAGTGAAGAAGCCCATAGATTACTTCTTTACAGGATAGCTGCAATCCAAATCAACGGAAACAAATTCTATCTCTCAGATGTATTTATCGATCATATGGGGGGCATTTAACCCTATACGGTTGCTACCCAAGCTCCCAACTTTGGGGAGAACTTTACCTATTTTGGGGAAGCCGCTATAGTAAACTTTGGGGAAATGGCACAAAAACCGCAAAATCTCCACAGACCTAGAGAGATTCCCCGAATTTTCCCAAAACGTTGGGGAAGTTCCCCAAACGTTAGGGATTTTCCCCAAAATTTCCCCTGAATTTGGATGATTATGAAATATGAACATCTTAGCTGTGACAGAAAGCGCACGCTACTAGTCGATATCGCAAATCATACAAACGTCAAGTGAGTATGAAAGTACACATTTCATCATATTAAAGAATCATGGACGAAAAACCTGGTTAAATCCCCTGGAATTTTATATTATCGACAAACAGAATAGTGTTGGATGTTCAGACTAACGAATACATCCAAACCCAGAATTACTTCAAAGACACATCGTAAACATAATAATACAACTTTATTATTAATTCTTCATGAATTCTCTTTACCTAAAATATGGAGACATTTGTGACCCAGGAGTCTTTCAGCCATAAATAATGATTTAAAAAGAGTAAAATATACGAGGAATATAGAACACACATTTTACGAAAGAAATATGTGACAAAACACCAGACCAAAATATTTGGCACTTTAGATAGTGATGTAACTCAACACTCCAATAAGGCGCTGAATCTGTTCGAATGAACCAAATAGTTTTGGACGGCAGAGAAGCTTTCACTTAACAGGCTCCCATATCTAGTATCAGTGGATCACCGATACCTACAGGTAGGAATTTAGGTATATTAACGATAATAGATGCAAAAAGAAATTGGCAAATCATAGTAAGATATTATACTTATACCATAAGCATAGATCTAGTTTCCTCTTTGATGACTCCGTATTCTGAATGAGAACGAATGTTTTGTCAAGCTGACCAAAAATGTTCTTACATGTTATTATTGCAAGGTTTGCTTGAAAGGCATTTTTGTCACAGTCAGCGTAAGACTTCAAATCGTAGGGTACTGATGATGTCACAGGTATTCGGAGTTTGACAACGCTTTAACCAGTAACACCTTCTAATATGAAGCGTACCCACCAAGTGAAATCAAAAGGCAGAAGCGAGGAGATTCGAAGATGTATTTGATAGGCTAACCATATATCGAGAATCGTCTGATCTAATCTGGCTAGCGATTACGGTAGATGTTGAGCACGGCGTTCCCACACGTGACCTGGTACGGATGCATGACCGAGAGCCTTTAGCTAGATGAATCCACCAAAACTAATGTGGTCAGCATCTAATGTCGAAAACTTACAGAGCCATTTATTTTGGGGATTTATTTACCGCTACAGATCACTCCCCCGTGATGGGCTAGTGATGACTTTAAGACGTGGCCAGCCAGAAGTTTAAACCCAATGAGTTTTTCGTTGGTAAACACTCTTCTGATGGCTTGCTATGTTTAGCAGCGTCTGGTTGTCTTTCCTTACTATAAGGAACCATGAAGTACAATCTGGTAAAAAAGGAAAAGTACAATGAAAATTTCCGTTTCTCACAAACTTCATCGTTCTTTTTATCGTCTTTTCCAGCCGTCCTGGAAAATAAAAAAATATGTAATTGCATGTCGGAATACACCCATATGTGCGTAAAAACACAAAGCGGGCGAAAAATGGAAAATAAACTCATGCTCACGCAATAGCGTAAAAATGATTTTTATAATATGGTTTTTTCGTTTTATTTTTTTTGAAAAAAAAATATATAGGCATATAAAATTTGGGTTTTTTAATTATATATAGTACAAGGGAAAATCGAGACGATATAAAATGTCTACTAGTATCTTACGTGCATTAATTGTTCAAATGTTCTGCGTTCATATATAGTCACTTTATACTTTCAATTTGAAACGCGTGGGCTTCCCCGTCCTGTTTATCTGTAAGGACCATATGCAAATGGTAGCATCAGTGAACGTTGCACGAAGTAGTCTTTTGTGAATTTAATCCTTGAAGTACGTTACCCGAGTGATTCGTATGACCGCTAAAGGATTTATTTTTGGAAGTTTGGGCCTCTTGTTTAACTCTCCACAGAGCATCCCGTCATTTTTATTCTATAGGCTGAAGAAAAGGTCAGAGCTGTTTTCGAGATTCATGGTTATGAGAGAATCATCGCAAACCGTAATTGTTTACCCATGTTTTCGAGTACGTTCAGGTTGAGGACCTTTATTGTTTGGTGGTTGATACGCATTTCAAATTCCTGTGCTCTTTATTGAGTGGTTGGACAGACTTGGGGGTAGACTCTACCGTCCAATCACCAGTTGATCTTCCTACACTATCTGGGATGTTTAGCTCTTTAGAATATGACAGTCGGTATTTTTTGACTTTGTCGACAGGTCCAATCGTCTATAGAGTTTTGGGGACCACCGTAGCATTTAGCGATCCTGTACAGTGTAACCTCATCATTAATGTTGAACGTGCCATATATCCATCTACGATGAGACTTACGAAGTGTGTTGTAAGCATTTACTGTAAGATCTGTACACACTTCGTGGAATCAATCTTTGCAAATGTCGCACTACATACCAGAGGTAGCAGAATTATTCATGAATACAGTGATGTAAATTGTTTAATAGACCCTAGTAAGTAAATAAAGAACAGTAAACTAAAGAGAAATAAAGTGGTTTAATATGGGTATTACAAAATGTTAGGATAAACTAAAAATAGCCTTAACAGGAAAAAAATAAATACTAAGCTGGGTCAAAATCTCAGTCAACTACTAAGTAAAACCCAGATAGAAAAAGATTTTCTCGAACATAAAGCTCAGGACAGATTCTTTGGATCAAAATAGTACTCTGGTTTCATCAGGACATAGCAAAATTTAAGAAATGAAAAGCACGTTGGAACTAAGCTTTCCGTTCTAAGACGTGTGTATATAGTATCGTTTTACTTCTTCTTTCCTTTCCGTTAGTAGATTCCCTCATACGCATTATTCTTTACACTCCCCCATCACAGTGTGCTAAACCAGAAGTTGAAGATGATTGGGTGTCGGGAAGTATTTGGAATATAGGTCGGTATAACGTACAGAATGGAATATAATTTAACTTATCATGCATGACACGCAATATAGCAAGATCGAACATGATCTGAACAGCACACCTAACTGAGAATATTCAGTTAGAGGTGATCGCAGGTAGACTAAGATCAGAATAGACATCATCGACCTAAAAAGGACATTTGTCATCACAGGTAGGAGTGTTTGGGCCACCCAAAGTAAATGCACAATATGTAATGCTAAACAGTAACCAAATTATTACTTATTGTCTTTTATTCTATTTGCTATAAAGGCTCATTCACCATCCGCTGTTGTGAAGTCGATTACTTAAATTCAGCTTCAAACTAGATCCGATTGGTTCTTAGATATTTTTTTGACCCTGAAGGCATTATAGTACTAATTGCGAGTTAGTGAACACTTCCCTTCGTGGTTATGAAAAGACACTGTCAGGACAGCTCCATTCTGTCACACTTGATTGATATTGATCATGTAGTAGACAGAAATAAGTCATTTAAAGTTATTCATCGTATTCCTGCTAGTCTTCCTTATGGTGTTTAATTTCGTCGCTTACACATAGCAGAAGCAATAGGAATTTAGGCCAACCACCCAAGTTTTTGTGTTCATATGAAATCTGTAACACCCTTATCTCTCCCGTGGCCTTAAAAATGATTTTATTTATTGTCATTTTACATATTTTCTTCATTTATTTTTCCTCACACTCTCCCATTCTTTTCTCTTCTCAAATGTTCTCTTCACGGTCCAATTGTCTAAATACCTCATCACGTAATCTTATAAACTTTCTATAAATTTTATTTCAGTGTCTATATTTTTACTAATCGTTGACTTATTTCCCACTATGTAACGTTGATTCCGGCCTTCATTATTCTTATCATAACTAGTGCACCCGTCATCACACTAACAATTTATACTTTTGACTTATTGTATCTATTTATGCAAACTATTCCATTGTTATCATTGACTCATAAACTGCCTTCATTGATTTAATAATTTCGTATATGCATATAAATGTTACTGTATATTGGAGTGAAGACTGATGAGGATCTGATGGAAAGCAATATTGTTCTTTTATATATGATGTTTTATATCAAATACTTACAAAATGCACATTCGCGTTCCTCCATTACTTACCTCTTATTTGATTAACCTTGGAGTCATTGGTTATAGAAATATCATTAATAAAAGCCTCGCCAAGCCCCATATATCCATGAAATTCTCATATTTTACCAAGGCTAATCAGTTGGAAACACAAATTGTGTACAGGAAATTCGAGAGCCGGCGAAAACATCACTTCTTGGTGAATGATTATGTCAATACAAATGAAATCGAATTCTGAAAAAATGGGAGTGATATATCCCGATAAGAATAATAAATAGTAATTTTTGAGATCCATTTATGGACCAATACTATGAGTATTTTTTTCTATAACTAAACTGGTCATATTCATATCCCTCTTATTATGAGCTTTATTTTGACCTTAGAACTATTATTATACGATTTACCATTCCTGAGTTATGGCCTGTCTCTTAATTACTATCTCTCTCATTCACAGCCACATTTGACTAATTCTTGTACAAACGTTATTTCATGTTTTGTGGTATGATGTGGTCTGTTTGGCTGATATATAAACACAGTATGCTTGAAATAAATGGTTCATGTCTCAGAGGTTGAAATTAGTGTTCTAGACTCAACTAGCTTGTCTAGGTGGAAAGCAGGACCAATCAGGACTCTAGACCGCTCGCACGTGTTTTATGAGTCACTGGTTCGATCGATAATTCACTGTACCCTAATTATCGGTATCATTACTTATCCATTAACAGGACACTCAGGCCACAAGTTATAACAGAGAGTAACAAAAAACGATTATATTCGAATGACGTCCACTTAAAACCACCTCTGCCAATCGATACCATCGTTCAGCGCGGAAAATATCAAGGCGAAATCTCATGTTGTACAATAACTGCATGGAGCTTAATTTTGTTCCATTGATTAAATTTTTTTTTAATCACCTACTCATTTCATATTCGTCGGCCGATCAAATTACTCAAACGAAATTTTCATGAATGTAACGAAAGCAAGACACTATATCTCCTTGACCTGTCAGGAATATTTGTGGTTGAAATATTCTTCATTATATAGGTTCAGAACTATTATTATTTCGATATAACCCACCTACTAGAAAAAGACCTGAAATTATCCTAAAACAAAACGGAATTGGCTGATTTTACGTCGTAGCAACTCACGTGCAATTGAGTTTGCTCACGTTCAATTTGGTTAAGCCCTCTTGTCAACTTATTTAACGAACAGAGTTATCTGAGCTATAACAACTTATATCATTGTACATTTATTATTATTATGCTTGTACGAAATGTGTATGCTTGAACATTGCTTACTGCCTGCGCATACATTCATTCTGCTAGCTTTATTATCAGTTGATTATTTGATTCTATTATTTGTTCATTTCCCTATATATATATATATATATATATATATATATATATATATATATATATATATATATATATATATATATATATCAGTCAGTCAGTCAGCTGCAACGTAGGACCAGGCACGTATATGCATCGGTCCAAGTTGCCATACCGCATTAGCACAACAAGATGAACACCGGATTCATAGGAGTAGTTAATTCAGTGGTGGTAATCTATAGAAGAAAGATTGTGTATAAGGAGATAGTACAGGAAGAAAGAATTAGTTCCTAGACAGATATGAAGCGATTTTAATCTCTTAATTTAAGGAAGACAGAGAGTGTATACACCGACGCCATTGTGATCGATTCTGAGCCATGTCACCAAGAGTCTCCAACCATTGGTTACGATAGTCACGCGGACCCCAACCAGGCAGTCTGAATCTCCCAACATGGCTCAGACCAGAAGTTAGTGACTTCAAGCACTGATGCCACGTTTTGGTTTGGACGCCCCTAACTTTCTTCCAATTATCCCCTGCACTAGTCAGCATTGCGCGTCGTGGTAATCGGTGTTCAGGCATACGCAACACGTGGCCCAACCATCTCAGTCGATGAAGATTCATAACCTCATCAACTGATTTACCATCATTCCCTAATACCCTGCGTCTAACCTCACTATTACTTACCCGGTGATCCCAGCAGATACCCGCAATATTTCTAAGGCACCTGTGGTCAAATACTAGTAACTTACGAATATCTTCCACTCTTAAAGGCCATGTTTCGCAGCCGTATAGTAGAACGGAACGAACTGCCGCGCAGTATACTCGTCCCTTAATTGATAGACGAATATCTCGCCTTCGCCATAGATGACGTAAGTTGGCAAAGGCCAAGCGAGCTTTTCGAATCCGTGATGAGATTTCGTCAGACACCAACCCATTAGGGCTGATCAGACTTCCAAGATAAGTGAAGTTGTCAACGCGTTCGACTACTTCACCCCCTATCCTTAGTTCAGGTGTTGATGCAGACCAGTACTGAAGCAACAACTTGCATTTAGAGGGAGAGAAGCGCATCCCAAACAATCGGGCATTGTTGCTCAGTGCTAACAAAAGACTCTGCATTTCGTCAGCGTCTTCACCAAACAGGACTATGTCATCTGCGTATTCTAAGTCAATAAGTGGACCTCCTGGTAGGAGATCAATACCCGAGAAGTCAGTCGATGAGAGCGTTATTTCCATCAGGATGTCTATGATAAAGTTAAACAAAAAAGGAGAAAGTGGACAGCCTTGACGGACGCCACTTGAGGTTGCAAAAGCAGATGACAGTTCGCCATAGGCTCTGACCCGACTAGTAGTGTTCGAGTAAAGAGCCTTCACAAGGTTTATGTACTTCTGAGGTACGCCTTTCAATGACAGACACTGCCACAGAACCTCTCGGTCAACAGAGTCAAACGCTGCTTTTAAGTCAAGGAATACCACCATTGTCGGACGCCGATAAGTATGCCTGTGTTCTAGAACCTGACGAATGGTGAATATGTGGTCGATGCAGCCACGACCAGGTCTGAAGCCAGCCTGATTTTCACGTGTTTGTAGCTCACGAGTTTTAGTTAGGCGTCCGAAAATTATCGAAGCTAGTATTTTAGATACTATATTAGTCAAACTAATCCCTCTGTGGTTGTCACAGGATGATTTTGACCCTTTCTTAAATATTGGGACGATAAGTGATTGTGACCAGTTAGATGGAATAACGTCTAACTCCCAGATTTTAGCTAAAATATTAGTCAACCTAATCGCTAAGACTAGACCACCATCCTTAAAGACCTCTGGGGCCAATCCATCTGGACCAGCTGCCCTTCCTCGTTTCAGATTAGCTATAGCCTTTTGAACTTCAGCTAGAGTTGGGGGACCTACTTCAATGTTCCATTCACACTGTCTGGGAATAGAGGGTAGTTGTAGAGTAGCTGAAGGCCAGCTAAACTGCTCCTTAAAGTGTTCCGCCCATCGTTCTAAGCGTCTGGACTGGGAGCAGATGAGAGTGTCGTCTTTTTCCGAAATGGTCTGACTTACACTTGATTTATTAATTCCAGTTTCTTTTATTAGTCTGTAGAGTTGTCTTGTATTCCCTATAGCCGCCGCCTTTTCCATCTCTTTTGCTTTCGTTGCCCACCACTGCTCACGATCATTCTTTAGACTTTTGCTTAATCTAGATCTGATTTCTTTACGCTCTTCATCGTATTCAGAACCTGATGGGATGAGTTTGCGAGAATCTATCAGTGCAATAGACCTTGACGAAATCCATTGGTTCTTTGTAACCCTGTGGTTTGAATCGCTAGTAGATGTCACTGCTGTTTCCACAGCTGCTTGTATAACTTTCCAAGCAACATCTGGGTCAGTCTCGTTTTCAGAACTACCTAAGTGTGACCTCAGTTGTTCCGGGAACCTACTTTTGGCTTTCTCATTACTCAATTCGGTTCTAATGAGTCCTTTTTGTGTGGCTCTTTTGCGTCCAGTGAGGCGCAAGCAGATGCGTGCTCGTACTAGGGCATGATCAGAGTCCAAGCAGGTACCCCAGAATGAGCGACTATCTTCTATTGACCCTCTCCAACGATGACTGATGGCAATATGGTCTATTTGAGTCCATCGTTGGTTTGGTGCAGGGGGTCGCCATGTTAGACGATGTCTCTCCTTATGCTTAAAATTTGTGTTTGCCAAAAATAAACGATTGTCTGAGCACAGTTGCAGCAGACGATCACCATTATCTGTTCGCTGTGCCGGAATACTAAAATACCCACCTAAATGTCTTTCTGTTTCGTTTAAGCTACCTACCTGGGCATTAAAGTCGCCTGCTACGAGTACTATGTCTGAACGTTTAGCTTTCTGAAGAAGTTCAGACAGCATTCTGTAAAATTCATCTTTCACTTCATCCGAACTGCAGTCAGTGGGAGCGTAGGCAGAAACGACGAAAAGGCAACGACGTGTGTCCCTATCCTTCCGAGTTCTTACCGAGCCGTTTAGCCGAACAGCGCATAGACGACTGTTAACGGGGATCCATTCTAATAGCGCTTGTTCCGCCCTCATGCTAAGTGCTATGCCTACACCTGCCAGTCCACGAGAACTAGCCATCGGGTCGCCAGATACACGGAGGGTGTATCTCGTTGGCTCTCCGTTTTGCCGAGGTGAGGTCAAGTGAATGACCACACTAGGATCCTGTATGCGTGTTTCGGAGACACAGCATACATCAATGGTACGAGATTCTAAGGTTTTAGCCAAGGAAGCCTGCTGACCGATTTGGCATAGTGTGCGTACGTTGAAGGCTCCAATGTGTAGTTTGGAGCGAGGTTTCAGTAGACCTGGGACAGTGTTTTGAGCATTAGAATCGTTGGCTGTGGTGACACTTGAGGAGGAAGCTAAAAGAGGAAGTTTAGTGTATAAAGTCGATGTAGGAGGAATAATAGGAATTGAAGAGGGAGGTTGACTATGAATACAGTGGTCTGGAGTGCTGTTAGAGGTATGAGGGCGGTTATCACTTCCCGGTTGCTCACACCGTGGAAGGGTTCTGCTGGAGGTACCTGAAAAGGAAATTGGATTAGAGTTGGTCATTGTGACCTGAGAGCGTGACCGCAGTGCCCAAGGGACAGCTGCTTGAGGTCGGTCACACACGACCTTTTTATGAGTGATTTTTGTGTTAGCTCCGTACTTGTTGAGTCCTTACCGCCGGAGACGGATATCCGTGGGATAAGGCGAGGTGTGCATTTTTAGGGTCGACCTTTTCTAACCCCACCCCTCCTTGTGGGAAGGCAGCATCGCTGTCATGCTGGTTGTCTGAAGGAAACACCTTACTGCTGTCACACCTCTGTACAGTCAGCAGTACGACTTCGCCTTCGGACCTTGGTTTTGTTGCTTTTAGTCTTACCGCTCTTCAACCGACCTGTCTGGCATGGTAGGACCTTGAGTAACGGTTGTTCCAGCCAGTATAGCTCAGTTGCTTCATCACGATAGGCAAGCCCGACCACCACGTCAAGGTAGCAACAACGGTCAGGATATATATATATATATATATATATATATATAATCTTACACACTATCGATTCACTGAATCACTCATTCGACTCTCTGCTTTGTGGTCGGAGCTATCTGGTAAGAAAACAGTATTCAATGCGTCTATTTGTCAAACACCGTTGAAGATTATATAATAACGGTTACGATGGTAATTGGTTAACGAAACACAGTCACTACAAAGTAACTAGTTTCTGCGGTAGTGTACTCAAACTTTTACGATCTTGATGATTATACAAGTTATTATGAGGTACTTTACAAAAGTTTGTTTAAACGGCAAATGAAGCAATCAGAATATAGAACGTGACTTTTACGTTTTTACGCACTTTTGGCCAGTTTGACAGGAAAACTTTACATATAATCTTCAACAGTTTTCTTTGTCCCCATTTAGAATACGGAAACATAGTATTTCTCTCCTCACTCCTAAATGATAAGGACACTCTGGAGCGTATCCAAAGGCGAGGCACGAAATCAGTTTGGGGACTCAAATTCAGGCCTTGTGAAAAGCGCCTCCATTCACTAAACATTTGCCCATTACAGTATAGGTGTCTTAGAGGTGACTTTCTAATGGCTCAAAGTATCCTTAACGCTTCTGAACATCCCCTTAAACACCTACTTATGTTTAGCTTGAACGCGAACCTTAGGAGTAACACCCAGAAATTGGAGACACGACATAGCAGAATGGACTTTGGACATAACTTCTACTCCTTAACAGTAGTCGGATGCTGGGATTCACTGCCGGCTGAGCTAGTCCAAGCGACTTCCCAGGAGTCCTTTAAGAGGAAACTTGATCTATGCTTATGGTATAAGTATAATATCTTACTATGATTTGCCAATTTCTTTTTGCATCTATTATCATTAATATACCTAAATTCCTACCTGTAGGTATCGGCGACCCACTGATACCAGATATGGGAGCCTGTTAAGCGAAAGCTTCTTCTGTGCCGTCCAAAATCATGTGAACCATTTAAACCATTTATGCAAATTTCATGATGCACATGTGTAACGCATTTGAAACTGTGCGTTACTTAACGTCGTCCAAAGGTGGTCTGTGAATTATAGCCTCACCAGTTTTGCCAGTTTCTTTAATAATTTAGGATGAGTTTCATAGGGTTCCATAAATTTGCTTATATAAAGCTTATTTAATAGACAAAAGACATCGATTTCTTTGATCGTGTGAATGTCCAGCTATTGGATATGTTTGAACGAAGGCAAGAACATCTGTGCATTATATGCACTGCCAAAGTAATTAGATAACAACTGATCTTTGCCACGGTCGTACCACTATCTCCTCATAATGTCAGGATGTCACTTCCCTTCTTGGTCCTTTGGTTTGTGTATGAATATAAACGTTTTGAGTATATTCTGTACTCACTTACTAGGTTTTCCTCATACAGTTCTCTAGACTTGAGGAAGGGTCGAGGCACAAAAATTTCAGGCTCCTCGTATTGAGATTCTGTCACATCATTACCCATTAACCTAAATCTCCCCCACATACTTTTTCTATTTCGTAGAAGAATACGAACATATTCACAGAATCACGTACTCTAAATAGTATGGCAATCCATGTACCGTAGGGATGCTCTTGCCTTAAGTATGGAAAAAGCTTGCTAAGGCATCTATAGAATACTCAAAATGCATATATTCATACATAACCCAAAGGACTAGGAGGAGAGGCGGCATCACTGCAACATGTGCATATAGTAGTGCTAAATCGCCGATAGAATACGTGTCTCAGAAACAGACAAACCGAAGAACTCTAAACCAGCTAGCCCAACCAGCGTGTTTGTAACTTTATGGAAGATTATTTGGAAGCTGTTTAAGTATCTAAACAAAAACTCAATCCTTTCCGAAAGGTGGCTCCTTTTCCAGTCGGGTTATTCATGTCTCAGAAACGTATTAGTAGTCCGTCAAAGTTGTGCTCAGAGGTACTAAGAGCTGCCTATAAATGTAGTTATTATTTACTTCAGTAAAGTTTTTGATAAAGCCCCACGCGATTCCGTTGTCTGAGTTAAGTGGTATCAAGATTGGAGGTTCATTGCTTGTGTGGGTTGGGACTTACCAGTTTGGCGTTAACTCCAGGTTATCTGTCTGAGGATCTGTGTTATTCCTCCCATTTACACAAATTTCCTATTCTATCATTGGCTTTGTTTATGCCAACAGTGGCAAGATGTAGAGAGCGATGACAAAGGAAGAGCTTCAGAATGACCTAAAAAACTACCTGAATGGTCTAGAATTTGGCGGTTTCGAGTGCATCAGGATGCACATTGGTCACCAAGTTACAGAGACACATAGTGAACAACACTGAACTACCTTTTCTCAAGACATATTGACGTAATTCATTGGTTTGGGATCCGGTTAAGGCGCCGTACATTGGCTTTTCGTCCTCTCTTCTCCTAAATGCTCTGGTACGGCCGAGAGTGGGGAGAGTCCGCTCTCCCTCTCGAAATGCTCTCACATGACCACGCGTATATAGCCTCTACCAGGGAAGTCCTACTCACTGCCTTCTCGTGGCGGGGGTGTTGTTTACGAAAATGAGAAGACGAAAAGCGAACGTCCGACGTTGTGACCGGACTCAAATCAATGGTGCACATGGGCTCCAGTATCCTGAAGGAACAAATGGCGTATGAGCCAGTTTCTTGGTCACCGGCTTCCATGGGACTGCATCTCCTCACGATGCTCCACTGCCCTGTGGATCAGATCTTCAGGTCGAAGGCTCGAGGTGTGGCCCTTAAGAAAACCACCTGCTTCGGTTTGGGCACCCGGGCAGTATCACAGCCCTCACACATATCAAATGAGATATGTGTGGCGCATATGTATTTGGTGCCTCCCTGTACCTATACCTATGTGTTAAAATAATAATAAATAATAAAGTCATCTTCAGCCAAGATTCGAAGACCACTGCACACTTCTGTGCAGTATCTGCTAAGAGTTTCAGAACCGTTTTGTCAATACGTAGAGTATTTAACCATGTATACAATGTTTTTTCGTTCTGAACTCGAGTACTACGTACAAACAGCCAACCTCTGCCCGAAAACAAACTGAGCTATAGTAAAAGGTTCCAAGAATGGCCACTGAGTTGACATTTGGAATCTTGAGGCTGCCATATGACGAGATACTGGCTAGAATAGACCTATTTCCCATTTTGTATAGAAGGAGCTGATTTGATGTGATTGCAATTTCCAATTATCAAACTATAAATTCGCATCTGATGTACTCTCACTTTTCTTATTACCCTAAAAATGTTGACAAGCCCAGAACAAACTACTTGTCAGGTGACTATCAACTTTCTTATCGAATCAACAACGAATGAAACTCGTCAACTCAACATGTAGTTGGAGCTTCATCTGTTGACGCATTTAAGAGAGTTGAATCAACTGAAAGACCACTATCACCAGGACTAAAACAACCCATCCAGTCTTCTGTTTTTCCAAGCTGAAGCAGACTTTCATCACTAAATGTAAGTGCATTCTATATACTTGCTGAATCGTCCACTCTCACTGCTCCACACACTCCCACAGCATACAAGGTTCCTTCAGGTTAGATTCAAACCTACCAAATGCTGAAGGTCATACGTATGCTGAGCAGTAAAATATATTTTTTTAAATATTACTTTGAATGCTAGAAGTAGTAAATTTTTCTACTGTCATGCGTAAAAATATTAACATTTTCTAAGCGTACATTTGTTTCATATACCGTAAGAATGATATCCTTCATTTTAGTAGAACTGGTGCCTGTATATACTAAAGTTGTACGATACATTTGTTGACTGCCTGTGGATCTATTTTACATATCCTTGGCTCTGAATAAGGTAGAAGTGTAAACGGTTGAGTCAATGTAATTAAACCACGAACTCAAAGCTACATTGCGGAGTTTTTTCTGATGATCTAAGTGTTGATTTTTAATTCTTCTATTAACAGCAGATTAATGAACAGTTTTTCGGGTGAATTTATCTGGGCTTGTGTTGGTGAAACATTATTTCCCCAGATTCTGGTACAAAGTAACTTAGGGGTGATTACAAACCATGACTTTCAAATAACGTTAAGCTTCAATGCACCTGCTCTCGGAAAAGGTTTTGGGTTTCATAGTCCCTTTAACGATCTTAAGTTGTTTAATTATGACGTGCTTATGACTCGGTGCCTGCATTACATGACTTCTCATTTCATGCACCGCATTTAATAGTTTAGTCTACACCCTACAAACTAAACTTTCGCTTTTAGATATTTCTATTTAATAGGTATTAACAAGGTGGCTGAGCTTCATAAACTGTTTTGTCATGACATAAAATAAAGCTCCATTTTATAACGCGATTTCCTATCTTTAGTAATAATTTAGTTACTTATATCCGCTTTTCCGTCCTCTGAAGCAATGATCATCTAACCATTGCTAGATGGCTCAAAATCGTTTTCGTATAGATTGAGGGGAGGATTTCGTTTTTATCATCAGATTACCAACCACCAGAAGCCTACCAGTGCAAGTAGGACAATCATCAAATGCCCTGGTACGACCGAGGGTCGAGAGAGTCAGCTGTCCCTCTCGAGATGTTCTCACATGACCACGCGTATACGGTCCTACTTACTGCTTTCTCACGGCGGGGGTGGTGTTTACGAACTTGAAAGGACAAAAAGCGAATGTCCGACTCTTTAACTGGGTGAACACGGAAGATTTATCTAAGCGGGTTGGAAAACCCTGATTCCAAACCAGCGGGGCACATGGGCTTGGGGACCCTGAAAGAACAAAAGGCGTATGAACCTATTGTTGGTCACCGGCTACCTTGGAACTGCATCCCCTAAAGTTGGCTTGTGGGCCAGACCTTTAGGTCAAAGGCCCCGGGTGTGATCCCTTAAGAAGATCATTTGCTTCGATTTGGCACTCGGGCACTCTCACTCAAATCAGTGATAACTGTGTGGCGCTCATGTATTCGCGCCCATTTGTACCAATGTTTGTGTTCAAATAAATAAAAGTAAAATAAATCACTCGGCATTCAACTAGCAGGTTGCAGGTTTGAATACGCTGACTAATTCGGTTTGGACGACTAGGCATCATCAAGCTATCTCAAGATCAAAATTATTTCCCTAATCATTTAGAAATATGGGTGCAATAAAATGATAATTGTTGTTAAGTTATGGTGGAATCTTGTAGTAAGCTAATTTTTCCTGGTTCCATTATCCTAATTATTTAAGAATGTCACTAAAATTAGTGGGTTTTTAACATTGAAATAGAAACTAGTATGTGCCCATTTGGGTTCAGTCGTCTAAGCACCTAGTTTTATGCACCAAGTCGCTATTCTGAACACTACTTCATCTTAAATGACTAGTAAGCCAAGTTACAATCCTTTTATATTAGGTAGAACGAATATTCCAACGAACTTGTTTCTGGTTATTGAGTTGTCGTTATACTTGTATTATATACTTTTATGTAAGTTTTTAAACATGATTTTGTTTTCGAATAAATCATCTGTGTAAGAATACAGATTTTGTTACAATCGGTATATTAATGACAACTAATCAGTCTTCATCTCAACCCCTTGGAGAGTCAAACAAAAGCCCAAGAAAGCATTCTCATGGTGGTCTTCCGACATCTAGTTCAGCACCTCGTAGTCGTTTACCTGGTCATAACCACTCGTCTCGTGAATCAATAGATTCTATCAATCCCGATCAGATGCTTTATTATGGGGCGAAGCAGATAATCAGGTTAATTTTTCAATATTTTCTTAATGATATACATAAATACGTTGAGTTTAAAATTCTCTATGTTGATGTTCGCTGTAATCTAGGCTTTCATATTAAGCCATATACATTTCTCTCTGTACACCAAGGAGAAAGTATATGGAGTAGCAGTTCACTTTGCTTTTGTGCACGGCTCTAGAACATAACCCATAAAAGCAGAAAATCAAGTGTTGTTTTTGAGTTCCTGTGGTAAGGATGTATTACACCTTTAGCCTTTAGTCTTGTTGAAATGTTCTTAGGTACCGAATATTTTATCGTAGAAGTAATCGTAATGCTTAATAACTATGAACTTGTGTTCAGTAATCCTCAAAAGTTTTGAGGGGTCTATATCAGAAATCTCAAATTGTGCACGTTTAGCATAGTGTTCAATCCTCAGCTGTATTACTATCGAAGGGCATCATTCTTAAATATGGTAAAAAAATTACTCCATGATAGTTATTTAATAGAATCATAATAAATCCTGACCGTTGTTGCTACCTTGACGTGGTGGTCGGGCTTGCCTATCGTGATGAAGCAACTGAGCTATACTGGCTGGAACAACCGTTACTCAAGGTCCTACCATGCCAGACAGGTCGGTTGAAGAGCGGTAAGACTAAAAGCAACAAAACCAAGGTCCGAAGGCGAAGTCGTACTGCTGACTGTACAGAGGTGTGACAGCAGTAAGGTGTTTCCTTCAGACAACCAGCATGACAGCGATGCTGCCTTCCCACAAGGAGGGGTGGGGTTAGAAAAGGTCGACCCTAAAAATGCACACCTCGCCTTATCCCACGGATATCCGTCTCCGGCGGTAAGGACTCAACAAGTACGGAGCTAACACAAAAATCACTCATAAAAAGGTCGTGTGTGACCGACCTCAAGCAGCTGTCCCTTGGGCACTGCGGTCACGCTCTCAAGTCACTATGACCACCTCTAATCCAATTTCCTTTTCAGGTACCTCCAGCAGAACCCTTCCACGGTGTGAGCAACCGGGAAGTGATAACCGCCCTCATACCTCTAACAGCACTCCAGACCACTGTATTCATAGTCAACCTCCCTCTTCAATTCCTATTATTCCTCCTACATCGACTTTATACACTAAACTTCCTCTTTTAGCTTCCTCCTCAAGTGTCACCACAGCCAACGATTCTAGTGCTCAAAACACTGTCCCAGGTCTACTGAAACCTCGCTCCAAACTATACATTGGAGCCTTCAACGTACGCACACTATGCCAAATCGGTCAGCAGGCTTCCTTGGCTAAAACCTCAGAATCTCGTACCATTGATGTATGCTGTGTCTCCGAAACACGCATACAGGATCCTAGTGTGGTCATTCACTTGACCTCACCTCGGCAAAACGGAGAGCCAACGAGATACACCCTCCGTGTATCTGGCGACCCGATGGCTAGTTCTCGTGGACTGGCAGGTGTAGGCATAGCACTTAGCATAAGGGCGGAACAAGCGCTATTAGAGTGGATCCCCGTTAACAGTCGTCTATGCGCTGTTCGGCTAAACGGCTCCGTAAGAACTCGGAAGGATAGGGACACACGTCGTTGCCTTTTCGTCGTTTCTGCCTACGCTTCCACTGACTTCAGTTCGGATGAAGTGAAAGATGAATTTTACAGAAAGCTGTTTGAACTTCTTCAGAAAGCTAAACTTTCAGACATAGTACTCGTAGCAGGCGACTTTAATGCCCAGGTAGGTAGCTTAAACGAAACAGAAAGACATTTAGGTGGGTATTTTAGTATTCCGGCACAGCGAACAGATAATGGTGATCGTCTGCTGCAACTGTGCTCAGACAATCGTTTATTTTTGGCAAACACAAATTTTAAGCGTAAGGAGAGACATCGTCTAACATGGCGACCCCCTGCACCAAACCAACAATGGACTCAAATAGACCATATTGCCATCAGTCATCGTTGGAGAGGGTCAATAGAAGATTGTCGCTCATTCTGGGGTACCTGCTTGGTCTCTGATCATGCCCTAGTACGAGCACGCATCTGCTTGCGCCTCACTGGACGCAAAAGAGCCACACAAAAAGGACTCATTAGAACCGAATTGAGTAATGAGAAAGCCAAAAGTAGGTTCCCGGAACAACTGAGGTCACACTTAGGTAGTTCTGAAAACGAGACTGACCCAGATGTTGCTTGGAAAGTTATACAAGCAGCTGTGGAAACAGCAGTGACATCTACCAGTGATTTAAACCAAATGGTTACAAAAAACCAATGGATTTCTTCAAGGTCTATTGCACTGATAGATTCTCGCAAACTCATCCCATCAGGTTTTGAATACGATGAAGAGCGTAAACAAATCAGATCTAGATTAAGCAAAAGTCTAAGGAATGATCGTGAGCAGTGGTGGGCAACGAAAGCAAAAGAGATGGAAAAGGCGGCGGCTATAGGGAACACAAGACAACTCTACAGACTAATAAAAGAAACTGGAATTAATAAATCAAGTGTAAGTCAGACCATTTCGGAAAAAGACGACACTCTCATCTGCTCCCAGTCCAGACGCTTAGAACGATGGGCGGAACACTTTAAGGAGCAGTTCAGTTGGCCTTCAGCTACTCTACAACTACCCTCTATTCCCAGACAGTGTGAATGGAACATTGAAGTAGGTCCCCCAACTCTAGCTGAAGTTCAAAAGGCTATAGCTAATCTGAAACGAGGAAGGGCAGCTAGTCCAGATGGATGGCCCCAGAGGTCTTTAAGGATGGTGGTCTAGTCTTAGCGATTAGGTTGACTAATATTTTAGCTAAAATCTGGGAGTTAGACGTTATTCCATCTAACTGGTCACAATCACTTATCGTCCCAATATTTAAGAAAGGGTCAAAATCATCCTGTGACAACCACAGAGGGATTAGTTTGACTAATATAGTATCTAAAATACTAGCTTTGATAATTTTCGGACGCCTAACTAAGACTCGTGAACTGCAAACACGAAAAAATCAGGCTGGCTTCAGACCTGGTCGTGGCTGCATCGACCACATATTCACCATTCGTCAGGTTCTAGAACACAGGCATACTTATCGGCGTCCGACAATAGTGGTATTCCTTGACTTAAAAGCAGCGTTTGACTCTGTTGATCGAGAGGTTCTGTGGCAGTGTCTGTCATTGAAAGGCGTACCTCAGAAGTACATAAACCTTGTGAAGGCTCTTTACTCGAACACTACTAGTCGGGTCAGAGCCTATGGCGAACTGTCATCTGCTTTTGCAACCTCAAGTGGCGTCCGTCAAGGCTGTCCACTTTCTCCTTTTTTGTTTAACTTTATCATAGACATCCTGATGGAAATAACGCTCTCATCGACTGACTTCTCGGGTATTGATCTCCTACCAGGAGGTCCACTTATTGACTTAGAATACGCAGATGACATAGTCCTGTTTGGTGAAGACGCTGACGAAATGCAGAGTCTTTTGTTAGCACTGAGCAACAATGCCCGATTGTTTGGGATGCGCTTCTCTCCCTCTAAATGCAAGTTGTTGCTTCAGTACTGGTCTGCATCAACACCTGAACTAAGGATAGGGGGTGAAGTAGTCGAACGCGTTGACAACTTCACTTATCTTGGAAGTCTGATCAGCCCTAATGGGTTGGTGTCTGACGAAATCTCATCACGGATTCGAAAAGCTCGTTTGGCCTTTGCCAACTTACGTCATCTATGGCGAAGGCGAGATGTTCGTCTATCAATTAAGGGACGAGTATACTGCGCGGCAGTTCGTTCCGTTCTACTATACGGCTGCGAAACATGGCCTTTAAGAGTGGAAGATATTCGTAAGTTACTAGTATTTGACCACAGCTGCCTTAGAAATATTGCGGGTATCTGCTGGGATCACCGGGTAAGTAATAGTGAGGTTAGACGCAGGGTATTAGGGAATGATGGTAAATCAGTTGATGAGGTTATGAATCTTCATCGACTGAGATGGTTGGGCCACGTGCTGCGTATGCCTGAACACCGATTACCACGACGCGCAATGCTGACTAGTGCAGGGGATAATTGGAAGAAAGTTAGGGGCGGCCAAACCAAAACGTGACATCAGTGCTTGAAGTCACTAACTTCTGGTCTGAGCCATGTTGGGAGATTCAGACTGCCTGGTTGGGGTCCGCGTGACTATCGTAACCAATGGTTGGAGATTCTTGGTGACATGGCTCAGAATCGATCACAATGGCGTAGGTGTATACACTCTCTATCTTCCTTAAATTAAGAGATTAAAATCGCTTCATATTTTTCTTTCTAGGAACTAATTCTTTCTTCCTTTACTATCTCCTTATACACAATCTTTCTTCTATATATTACCACCACTGAATTAACTACTCCTATGAATCCGGTGTTCATCTTGTTGTGCTAATGCGGTATGGCAACTTGGACCGATGCATATACGTGCCTGGTCCTACGTTGCAACTGACTGACTGAATCATAATAAATGGCTTAAAAATTGTTGGGTATCATAAAGAAACCAGCAGTTCTCACTAAAAATAGTCCTCAGATTTATACAACCAACATACCAGGATTTAAAAAGACCTATTTATCGTTAGTCGAATTTAGAGAGTATTATAAAAGGTTTGACGCAAACCCACTAGGTTTACACGTATGAGTAAATTACTTGTGTATTGATGGATTTAGCAGACAGTCGTACCAAAGGTGAAATGTTTTAAACTTTAAAAAAAGCTGACTCATGGGAACATTGGAGTAAATATCCCTTTCGTGATGTGTTGGTCATTGGATCAGTCTTAGAGGTTGTAATTTACTCTCTCTAATACTTCATAGTCCTGTGTACCTCTCGACCAAATTTCAATTTTTGATGAAAATTATCTCCAGATATTCTTTTATTGTAATGTTATTATATTCTTTCTTATAACTACGCTTTCTGTCTTTACATTCTTATTTCAGTTTATTTATACCAGTGACAGTTTGCATGTTGTTTGTTGTCGCTGTCGCTTCGACAGTTGACTTTTATGGACATACGGATCAGTACTTATTGTATACACCTTTTCATACTCCAGATGCAGATATTGGGACACAAACATGGCAAACAATAGCTAATACTTTGATATTTATGAGTGTGGTTGTCGTAATGACATGTGTCCTTGTTTTACTGTTCAAGTATCAGTGTTATAAGGTAAGACGTGAACATTTTTCATACAGAATTTCCCATAAATTCCCATAATATTCTTAGATGTGAAATAAATATCAAAATGACTTATCATTTTTTATCTGGACTAAATAAAGTTTTAAGATTTTTATTATATATATATATATATATATATATATATATATATATATATATATATATATATATATAGTAATAGAAAATATTGGGCATCTAAATTGCGATTCCATAAACTATAAATTGGTGAAATAAAAACAGAGAAAGTTATAAAGGATTCAGAAGTTTAGAACTTGGTGGAAAACACAAATAAATGCACCTGTTCAATTGCAAACAATTTTGAGTTATGTCACTCAGTCTCCAACCATTGGTTATGATAATGACCCCAACCAGGTAATCTACACCTATTGACATGGCTTAGTTCAATTGTCAGTTACTTCATGACCTGATGCCAATTTTTAGTTTGTCCGTTCCTAGCTTTCTTCCAGCCTACTCTCGCACCAGACGACTTCTCTCGTGGAGGTAGGCTGTGGTTGGATATACGTAGAAAATATCCCAACCACCTCGGTTAATGAAGATTTACTATCCCATCAATCGAATTGCCATCCGTGACTAGTACCCTATTCCTAACCTAGGCATTGCTTACTCGGTGCTGCAAAGACATGATTTCTGTGTCAACAGTTACTTGTACAATTTATATATATATATATATATATATATATATATATATATATATATATATATATATATATATATATATATATATATATATATATAAGTTACTGAAAGTTTTCATATATTATTTTCTTTGTAGTTTATTCGGGGTTGGATAATTATAACGACCATCTTCTTACTTTTCCTGATATCCTTCATGTTTTTTGCGTGAGTGATAATTGCTTATTTTTGCATCAAAAAAGTTAAAGTGCTTGCCTTTTTTATTTATCAATAACGGTAGACAAAGATAGAGAAACAAGTAACATAGTTTTTGAACCTTCGAACGATTGTATTTATTAAGCAAAGATGAATAGTGGCTAGCAGTGGAACTCGTCAGCTGGATGTACCTGCATCTCAGAGTTGATGTTCACTCTGGGACTCGAACCCAGTACCGTCCACTTCAAATGCCATCGCGTTATCTACTTAGCTACTGAGTCCTGATAGCCATTTGCTTGTGAAATGGGGTGAAGTTTAATTCACTTTATATTGTTTTACTTGAATCTTCCCATTGATGTTTAGGACAGCAATTGATCAGTCTCCTGTTGGCATATGTGCATACTGTGCGTATTGCCTCGATAGTGCCTTAATTTACAAGTATTATAAGCAAAGATGGATAGTGGTTAGCAGTGGAATCCAGGACGCACGTTTCGTTCTATTTGGGACTCTTCAGCTGGATATACCTGCATCTCAGAGTTTATGTTCACTCTGGGACTCGAACCCAGTACCGTCCGCTTCAAATTAAGGCAATATCGAGGCAATACGCATAGTATGCACATATGCCAATAAGAGACTGATCAATCGCAGTCCTAAACATCAATGGGAAGATTCAAGTAAAAAAATATCAAGTGAATTGTATTTACTGTTTCTCATGTTTCATTATTCTACGTCAGATTAGAAAATGAAAAGTTATTATTTTTATATTACCAAGGAAAGCTTGATAAGATAGTTGATCACCAATTAATTTATCACAAAATAAAATTGTAGCTCAGTGGAAAAAGCGAAGTTATCGAATGAAAGCATTAACAAAATATAGTTCTAATAGAAATTAACCAAGTTAGATGTCGATGAAACAATGAAAAGATTGAGTTGGTCTGAAAAATGTTATTTATTTGCGCTATACATTTTGAACAATCTGCTCACACATATACTTGTCAAGGCATTTTATATAAAAATCAATTAAGGTCAATTAAATAAAGGTTCAGGTAAACCAAATAATAATTGTGAATAAAGGAGAAGGAAAAAATTAACATCGTATGAAAAAAAATAAACTATCGCATTACCCTAGGTCATAGAATGGCTTAAGGATTACCAGGGCGAATCCAAGGTTATGACAAATTAGATTCAAAGTTGGATTTCATTCATTTCAGTAGGTGCTCATTGTTTATGACGGACATAAACTGTTAAGTTAAAAATAATCATATAAACGGTAGTACTTAGCTAACGAAAGCAAAATACTAAAGTTATTGATTTTAGAACAGTAGTAAAAGTATGTAATACTAGGATTTTCGAGTGAGAATATGAACTCTTTCACTCTGTGGCTACTATTGTTAAACTGTTATTTATTTATTTTAACACATAGATATTGGTAAAAGGAGGCACCAAATACATATGCGCCACACATATCTCATTTGATATGTGTGAGGGCTGTGATACTGCCCGGGTGCCCAAACCGAAGCAGGTGGTTTTCTTAAGGGCCACACCTCGAGCCTTCGACCTGAAGATCTGATCCACAGGGCAGTGGAGCATCGTGAGGAGATGCAGTCCCATGGTAGCCGGTGACCAACGATTGGTTCATAAGCCATTTGTTCCTTCAGGATACTGGAGCCCATGTGCACCATTGGTTTGGGAGCCGGTTAAGGCGCCGTACATTGGCTTTTCGTCCTCTCTTCTCCTAAATGCTCTGGTACGGCCGAGAGTGGGGAGAGTCCGCCTCCTTCTCGAAATGCTCTCACATGGCCACGCGTATATAGCCTCTACCAGGGAAGTCCTACTCACTGCCTCCTCGTGGCGGGGGTGTTGTTTACGAAAATGAGAAGACGAAAAGCGAACGTCCGACGCTGTGACCGGACCCCAAATCAATGGTGCACATGGGCTCCAGTATCCTGAAGGAACAAATGGCGTATGAGCCAGTTTCTTGGTCACCGGCTTCCATGGAACTGCATCTCCTCACGATGCTCCACTGCCTTGTGGGTTAGACTTTTAGGTCGAAGGCTCGGGGTGTGGACCCATAAGAAAACCACCTGCTTCGGTTTGGGCACCCGGGGAGTATTACAGCCATGTCAGTAATGCAGAGGTTCGGCATCGAGTGTTCGGTCACAGAGACGATAATGAAGTTGGTGTCACCATCCTTAAACACCGACTTCGGTGGCTTGGACATGTTCTACGAATGTCGTCCCAGAGAATTCCTCGTCATGCATTATTTGCCGACTCTGGGACTGGTTGGAAAAAGCGGAGAGGTGGTCAGTATATGAGATGGTGTCGTGGTATGAAAGAAAGCTGCAAAGGGCTAGCTTCTGTTGGTCCTTCACGACTCCCTGGTTGGGGTCCGAGAGATGGTGTAACACAGTGGCTAGAGACGTTATCAGATATGGCTCAGAATAGAAGCCAGTGGCGATCCTGCTGTAACCTTCTTTTACTTTCTTCATAAAAAGTGGTTGTATCTTCCTTAACTGAAAGATCTCTTCTGATTGTACCTTTCCGTTTCCCCCACCATTGTTCTCTCTCTCTTTTTTTTCTAATTCCCCACGTTCATTACATTTTTTCTCTTTTCTCCTCTTCAAATTATCATTGTTTTGTGTGGCGCATATATATTTGGTGCCCCCCTGTACCAATGTTTATGTGTTCAAATAAATAAATAAATAAATAAATAATAAAATAAAAACAAATAAAATAAATAAATTTCGTAAACAACACCTCCGCCACGAGAAGGCAGTGAGTAGGACTTTCCTGGCAGAGGCTATAGACGCGTAGCCATATGAGAGCATTTCAAGAGGGAGAGCTGACTCCCCATTCTCGGCCGTACCAGAGCATTTGGGGGCATTGTTAAACTGTTAGCTATGACCAGCTAAATACTAAAAGGAATCGTTATCGTAGATCTTAGCTTTTAATGTTAATTGAATTCGGCCGACAACTCCGTTTGCAATGTATTCATTGGCATAAGGGATTCGTTTGGAACCGGTGTTTAATTAATGAAAACAGTATGCTCAAATTTATAAACATTAGCATCTTTTAACTAGACATATATGCAATAATAATGAAAATCTTGCCTCATAAATACTTCAACTATTCAGTTATGTGGATATTACCGCCAAGCTATTCATTTCGATAGTGATCAGTTTTTTCACTGAACCAACTACACTTAACATTTCCTTGTTGATTATCCTTAGTCGTTAAGCCTTTTTAACAATGGATAATTTTGTGAATTATTATGGTCACTTAATTAATGATGTGCAACATGGCACCAATGAGTATCGTTTTAAGTCATCACGATCCACATCAGCACAGCCAAAGAAATTAATACGGAATAAAATAGAAACACTTTTTGCACGTAACGATCAACCCTATACTGTGAAAAATAATTAAATACTTTATAATATAATCCTGAGCTCATTCATTTTATATATTGTGAAATGAACCAAAATTTTAGACAGATAATATATCTTAAACTACGGTGGAATAACTGTTTTTCACGTATTAACTTTCTGTTCGCTTTCTCCCAATTTTGAAACAACCATGTCCATGAAGAGGAATTTATCCACACGTTGTTTATAACTCTGTGTGGGTCTTTCGAAAGATCTAATTAAATGATTTAAGTTGTTCCTAGAGTCTAACTAGCAGTATATATATATATATATATATATATATATATATATATATATATAACCTTTGTAGTACTTTATTTAATCAAACTTAAGAAATGCTTATCTTTACATTGTAATTGTGTCTGACTGATGAGGTGTATAGGTTCAATTCTTATTTATATGGGGACTCAGATGTTTGAGAATTAGAAGAGTGATTGTTCACTGATCATTTTCTTAGTTCTGTTATGCATTGCTGTTTTCACAGGAATATTTTCAAACTAATGATGTACTCAAAATTATTGAGAAATTGTTTTTCTACATACATTCTTTATGTTTTGTGTATCAGTAGTAAGATAGTCAGTCGAGCTGAGAGTGCGACAGTAACCCTCTAGTCTTACTGAATGAAAATAGTGTTGTATCACGAGTCGACTAAAATTAAAACTGAATCATTTTGGATTCTAACTAGCCTGAAAAAACTAACATGCTAGATGGTAAACATCAAGGTCTTAGGTTCTATTTCGTTTAAAGTCGTGGATTTACATTACTAAGGGATCTCGGCCTGAATAAATTAATCATTTATTGTCTTTTGTTTCCAGTTATTTTCTTATTGATATTATTTCGTGGTTAAATATATCGTCAGTTTGTACAAAAATCTCAAAACTCCCCACGAATAATCAATTTATTACTGTCTATTGTAAATTCATTTTCGGTTGATATTATTTGTCAGTGCTCATATGAAATTTCAAGATAGTTTTCGTCGCAAGCAGAGAGTAAAGAAGATTTTCTCCATTTCCATTAATGCAATTCGTATTACCTTTTATGCTGATATATACTTTATCAAAAATATTTATTATAATTATTATTTTCTTGTAGTGAAGTTCTTCGAGCTATGGGAGTATTTGTTGATTATATTACAGTAGCGTTTGCTTTATGGAATTTCGGTGTCGTGGGAATGATAGTTATTCATTGGCGTGGACCATTAGTTCTACAACAAGCGTATTTAATATTTATATCTGCACAGATGTCATTAATGTTTTTAAAATATTTACCCAAATGGACGTGTTGGCTTGTTTTAGCAGCGTTAAGTGTTTGGGGTTGGTTTAATTCACTTTTTTTTTGAATAAAAGATTCTATTATGTCAAATTACTATATTCGACTTCCATTAAACGTTAGATGGAATTGTTTGAAACTTTTACGCAATGAGTATTTGTGTGAATCCTTTTTTAATCCAATTAATATGTAATGTGGTCTTTTTATACCAAAACATCTTCCAAAAACTCAAAATTGCTTATAATTATGGCGATAAATCATTTATTGAAATATCTCAGATATTGTAGATTGTTAGATTCAACTATTTACTGAGATCGGAAAAACTTTTGAAGCACTATAGGATTCCAGTTAACTGTTTCTAGGTTAATTACCAAGTGAATAACTCATGGTTTGACTTCCATTATCCCCTCTCCTATATACACTTGTTCGTTTAGCAACTACAAACATTCTTTATAGACAAGTTTGAATTCTATATGAACTGCAAAATGTATTAGACATATCACTGTGTACCATTCAATTGCTTGAATTTTAGATAAAATGCTTGACAACTAACGTATAATTCCGACAAGGTTAGGAGTTACATCTCATACTTCTGTCTGTAACACTTGTATGTGGTGCTTTAACCTTCGTACAGTTCAGATATTTTTCGCAATCCAATCATCATCTACAGAAATAGCTTTAATAACCATGATAGTCTGGTTAAATTTGAAAACAATTTCCCTTATAAACCTCTTCATTTTCGATTTCAAGGCTTTGCCGTATGATAAGTAATATTTTATTGATGTACAGTCACGAACACTTTTAAAATAAAAGCTGGTTCTTTTATTTATTTCAATGAAAATGTTTTTGTTGAATCGGTTGGTCAACATTCACTCGTAAATGACAACTTTCGGAGGATGGTAAGGCTATAGTATATGAACGAACCGGTACGAATTGAGATAGCGACTTCAGGTTCATAGTGCATATTTAAACCGGAAATGCATACATATGGTAGTCTAATTACGAATTCGTTGATGACAGCTGGCACCATACTTTTTGAGTGGAACATTCAGATCTACGTTAGTGCCTTTTGAGTTTTCACACGAAATTCATTCACATAGATACAAAGCATTTTTACATCATAGTTGTCAGTATTTGGTGGAAACTTCAACCTTAACTTCCTACGCCTAATTTCTAACACTAATTCCTAACTTTATTTTGAACCTAATAAATAATCGAAATTTCGTCAGGTTATTTTAAACTACTCACCAAGAGGTTTACTAAGGTATCGATGAAAACTATGACTTGTTTGTAAAATTAAAGCATAGTTAGAATTAGTAACATGTTGGGTATATATGTGGGTAGTAGAGCTGAATCCTAATTTTCATCAATTCATAGTCAACCATCATTATATTTTGAACCGAGAGGTGAAGAGATTTATCTTTCTCGAAAACGGCTGCCACTAGGACTTTGGAGCTGATCACAAAACAAGTTAGCAGTATTCCTTGCTGTTGAATTCCATTATGATGCGATTTGTCCTTTGATTTGTTAACGAATATTGTGTCATAGTGGGTAAGGAGAGACGTGAGTGTATTTGAATTTATGTTCTGAATACCAAAATTTTCAAATCTTAGTCTTAAAATCCGTCTTTTCTAGTGGTTCATTCACTCATTCACTTAATGCTACCAAACATCCTATTTTAAGTGCTTATTTTAGACTGGAAAGAAACTTCGAAATACATCATTTAAAATTATAGCATATGAATTTAGGATTGTTGTAATATAAAATAAAATAAAATCGTCAATATTTGGGTGATTAATTCGAAATGTTAACTTGAGTAAGCTTTACGTTAAATGAGATTGTGAGATTAATGATCAGAATAGATATAGTTAACATGGTGTGAGAGAGATAGTAATGTAATCACAAATCAGAAATCACACAGTATGTAGAACAATATGAATTGGGTACGAATTAGTAAATATAGATACTAGATACATTTCCCAAAAACGTTGGCATTTGTTATAATAATAATAATGTGTGAATAAGATTAGTTTAAGCTATAAAAGTGAATATTAATCAAATTAAGTCACCATATCATAAAAATGATTACTGACTAATTGGGTCAGAATTTGGCCGAAGTAAAAGGAGAGGTTTAACATATTTCTTCTGGATGCGAAGCTTCGGCTTTTTGATCCAAATAACAATTGCTTCAGTTGTCTAAAGGATTATCAGTTTGACGGATTTAGACACGATATATTATGGCGAATAACTGCTCCCTGTTGGCTGTACAGCCCATTTGTACTAAATGAGCTAAAATCGGACTGTTAACAGTTTCACCTATACCTTTTCTTAGTCACACTGGGAGGTTCTCGCGAGCCCGAAAGTACATATTCCTAGGACACCTATCAATATAACTTACTCCACAAGAGCAATTGAATTTATAGATATAGAAAGAAGTGGCGAGTCCAAGTAATTTGTCTTTCAATCTCGGAGAAATCTTCGGGTGCGTGGAAAATAATAATTATAGTTTACCTGCATTAAGAGTTCTTTGGATTGCTCTATGCAACTTTAATAGTAGCATTTTGCTGGTTGTATCACCTCTTAATTGTGAGCGTATATACAGAGGTTATTTGCTCAAAGTTATGCCTTCCTTATGCCCTCTTTTCTTGGCTAAATGTTTATTTATGAGTTTTTCCGGATATCCATTTTATTTCAGGTTAGTACTCAATGCCTTTGTTTCCCCTTCAACTGCATCTAGGGAGCATATGGTCTTGATTCTATAATGGAGTGTCTTAATGAGGTTCCTTTTATATTATAGAGGAACATAAATAAATTTGTATGTTCAGTCTAAGTAATCTTGTTTAAGGTTTTTCTTGTAAGTAAAATATCTAAAAAGGTTTTTTACCTCTATTTTCTTCCTCACATGTAAATTTAATTGACGGGTTAATTTCATTAAATCACTTAAGTGTCTATCCGGTCTATACGGTCGTTACAAAGGATGAACGTATCGTCCACATGTCGACAGTAAGATGAAAACTAATCGGTATGCTGTGCCAATGGACTATTTTCTAGTTTAGCGAGAAAAATGTCAAGTAATTTGAGACTTAGTGGTGAAACCACCTCGACACCATCTATCTGTTTATATATTTCACTATTCATTTTGAGGATTTACGTTCACAGTGCACTTTAGTAGTAATTCCTTAGTGATGCCCACAGGTATTATAGTTTATTTCTTGTTCTCTAAGTTGTTCACAGATATATTCTATGGTCTTCCTGAGTGAGACATTTGTAAACGATAATGTTAAGTCTAAGGACATCATCGTTTGTCCTTTAGTGTTTATGTTTTTGATATTGTCGACGAATTGGAATACATTCTTAATACTACTTTACTAAATGTTTGTGTAGTGGTTTTAAAGTGGTTACTAACCACTTCGCCTAATTATTTCGTAAAAATTTTATGGAGTTACCTGTTGATCTCCGGTTTTTTTTTGAATATCTGGTCAGTTTATTTCCTGTTTAATTGCTGACGTCTTTTTGTTCATTCAGTGTCTGGAGTTTTAGATGATCATTCAGGATGTTATTCATCTTGTGAATATGGCTTTTTTTTGTTGAGTAGGACAGTTCCTGTTCCTTTATAAGGTTTCGTAATAATCAAACTTTTGTTATTAATAAGTTCATTGATAGCCTCCCTGTGTTTTTAAGTTCAAATGCTTCTGTAGGTGTATCTACCTTTCCTTAACTGATAACACCAATAAACGTTAAAGTTCTTGATCGCAGGTCGGAACTAGATGTGATATCTGATGATTTATTCCGATCATTAATCTCACAATTTCATTTAAAATATAAAATTATTTAAGTTTACACTTCACATCAGTTATCCAAACATTGAAGGTTTTGTTTTACATTACAAACAACTCTAAGTTCGTATGTTTTAATTTAATGGCCTTAGACTTGGCCACATTTTGGGATTATTAATTTGGATATATAATGGTAGAACCTAAAGAGAAACTATTGGAAAGAATATTCTTCGTTCATATATGTTTCAATATAAAAATTAAATTATTGTAAACATACTTAATGCAAGGAGATATATTTTGTTTAGAACACAACTATACTAAGTATTTGCGTTATCATAAAGATGTGTACATTCGTATTTGTCTTATAATTACGTCAATATATTATTATACTACTAACTTAACTAATAAGTAGAATGAATTTCGAACATTTTTATATCAACCTTTGTCGTTTATGGATCTCACATTAAAGGTTTGACTTTAGCCTAGTTGGGGGCTAGCTAGCTGTATACCTTTGTCCACGTATGTTGAAAGCCAAAGCCTATATCACAGTATTATCAAGACCTACCTATAATGTTATTAAAAGATGTAGTTCCGTCAGTTCCAGGTCATGAACACTGGGTTTGTGGTTCAAATGTACTGAATATATACGCCTACTTTTTTCCCATCTCTTGGTATTTTTGCTGTAATAGATTTTAAGTTTTATGATTTTCTTTTACCAAGGTAGTTATAAGTAGGATAACTGAAGCAAGCACATTTGTGTGTACCACTCTACGTTGCTTTTACTTAAATAACTGCTTATAGTAGCTAAGTTATTTAAAGCGTTTTAGTAATGTATGCAATTTAAACATCTGTTGTTTGTGTAGGTATGTGAAGGCAAGATTTAAATAGTCTGGGCTTTTTTTAACTTAGCGGTCAGTTATGCTACATTAGATTCTCTCGGCTTCATTTGCTCATATGATAAGATGCCAAATAATGTTTTTCTCAAGACCTATTATGGTTGGATTTGCTCCCTTAATGGAAAATGGTACTTGAACTGGTTCGATAAATATCAAAAGTGTTTTTCACTGTACGGTATGCATTTTTATACACACTCAATACTGTCGTATTATAGTTCATTTTCCAGAAATAAGATGAATTTGGGAAACTTGCTTTTAGCACTGACTGAACATTTATACCCTTATGGATTAATTATTAAACATAGATGGTTTCAAGATTCTTTTTGCCATAAACTGACACCGATTGTCAAACTGAGGACTGGTAGATAGCATACTTTTCCTAGACATTCGATGCGGAAATGTACTTGAAATAATCTCAGCGATGGAAAATTATCTAACAACTTTTCGTGCAACAATTTTGTCCGCACTTCTGAGATTACTTGAAGTATGCTTTTAAATCTGATCTCTTAAATATAATTTAGTCCCAATTCCTATGACATTGTTTGTTCGAATTCTGACAAATGTTCATATATATCGTTCATCCTAGTACGTAACTTCACAGCATTAAATGTCTCAAACATTATATTTGATCAAACACAAGTTATTCATGTTTTACGGTGAATACATTTTTAGTCGCTTAATAGAAATATAAAGGCCCATATACTCAAAGTTTTCATTCGATTTGCAACATAACTTTATCTTTTTCTAATATCATCACTAAGAAACTGACTTGGATGTCTTCTATCCGTCAAAACTTCATTATAATAATTCACAGAATCCAATGTGTTTTATTAACTAGTGAGGTAATTATAATCAGTAGATTCACTAGTTTTTTGGGTTCTTTATTGTTTAAAGATAACATTCATCATCTTGGAATGCAACGGGAAGAGCTAATCACTTCGAAAGTGTGACTGTGGCTTACCAGCGATATTGGATGTAGGTCTTAAATTGACAAAAATTGGAAATGGATTAAATAATCATACTTCTACTAAAATAATTCGGAAGAATATATGATTGTTAATCTATTCCGAAGTCTAATTTTCGTCTACTGATGTTTTTAAGGAATAAAATTGCTTACATGTATTCGGTATTTCATTCTTGGGGATTATTCCATCTGTCTTTTATACAAGTATTATATTTTTCTTATTTGTTGGTGAGTGTAAAGAACAATACTGTTCTTTTGTATTCTTTCACATACTTTGGTGTTTCATACGAACATCTAAAAGTTGACAGTAATTTGTGCAGCTTAAAATAAGCGTTGTGTGCTGTCTTGTGTATATCTTTGGTAAACAGTGATGGAATTCTTTTTTTCTCAAAATGTATCATATTAAAAAAACTTTGATATCAATTAAGAATTTAGGAAGGATTAAAACGTATCACATTTCTGATTGAATGGTTGCCTATCGTACTACTATGTTTAGTATGGTTTCAGAACTTTTTTGAAACCCAAAGCCAACTGGAATACTATTAATACCCTCAATTTTCTGTGCACAGACTAATCTTGGAGTAAATTGTTCTTTTCACACTTCGCTCGTTTTCTCTCGTGTTCAAGCCATATAGATTTAGCTTGGGGTTATTGGAAAAGTTTAGAAAACAGATTCAAGAGTTCAGATAGAAGACTTCTCATATTCACCTTACGAAGATTCACTTCTAAGTATCTAACTTACATGCAGCCTTATATTCAAGTCTTATTATGATTTCTAACTTATACGTTTATGTAATATTATGTATTGTTTAAAATAGCATTTAATATTCCTTTATTAATTTCCTGTTAACTAAAACTTAAAATATTTCCTTCAGATATAGTAGCTGTTTTGTGTCCAAATGGACCATTGCGATTGCTTGTAGAAATGGCTCATGAACGACAACAACCTCTGTTCCCTGCCCTTCTATATTCAACTACTACAGTTTATCTTGTTAAAAAACATGAACCAGTTGAGAAAGTTGACAATGATCAACAATTTGTTGGATCCACTATTACAAATTCTGTTGATACTCCAAATGAAGCTTCAAATATTAATTGTACTACACAATCTTGTTCTACTACATCTGAGTTGGTAGTTTCAGGTAAACTTATAAAATTACTGTTAATTATTTTTAGTATATCAATATTGTAAGCGGTTTTGAGGTAGTTTATGATATATATAATTTAAAATTGTAATTGTGTCATCGAGAAGTGTTCATTGAATATTTACTGACTCTTCAGATTTCATCGCTTGTTGATAAGTCCATAAATTCTAGCGATGTTTACTTTTGTTCCATGTTCCATGGATAATAAGTCGGGTTATAATTGACCTTGTATGAGCCCAGGTTGTAATTTCATTGATGAATAACTTATAGAATTGATGTCTATCAATGGATTATCTTCTGAATGCTTAAATCCTGCTTATTTTGTATAACATAAATACATTTCACTTGATCTATCAAATACAATGGTGGTAATTTGTATCTATATATGATGGCTATTACAGGAACAAGTAATTTGATATGATGATCTGCGTGTCTTTGATAACTTACTTACTCAACCGGTCTTCGGTTTCCAATTGAAATAGATCTTAGGAGGAAACACCAGATTAAACATATACCTACGGAATGAAACTATGATATATATATATATATATATATATATATATATTTATTTATTTATTTATTTATTTATTGATAGTCTTCTTTACTCTAATTCCTCCCATCATCAATGTCTATTGTTTGACATTATGTCATACCTCTATGTTACACTGTAATGCTTATAAAGTTGTAAGCAGCTGACAATGAACAACTAGGTAATAATTAAAAGAAACTATAAGTCGCATCCCAATTAATGAGGCTTTATTTTTGTTCTGTATATCAATAATTGTTCGTGAACATTCATAATAGTCGTTACTTTTTAGTAGAAGTTACGATCTTATTTATAATAAAGTTAAAGTCAATGTTCACATTCGACATTAACGGGTTCATTTAAATTGATGAATATATGTATAAAATCATAATTTCTGTTCCGCATAACTCTATCGTAAAACACCTCTACCATAAACTTGTTTTTGTTTGATCGTGTTATTTTGCGTCATTTCAGTTCCATTTCACTTTCACTTTTTTTCTAAAAGTAATTCTACCAGAATACGATCCGATCAAAAATTTTTAAAAAGTAATTTTATAAAAGTATTTGGTTTTTAAATAGTACGTTACGGACTAGAACCCTTCACAAAAGCGAGCGACTATTGCTACTACTTTGGTGTAGTGGTCGGGCTATTCTGGCCGAAATAATCGTTCCTCAAGGTTCTACCATACTAAGCTGATCGGTTAAAGAGCGCTAAGACTAAATACTGCATACCCAAAGTCCAAGAGCAAAGTCGTACTTCTGGTAGTACAAAGGTGTGACAGAAACCTGTAAGTGATAATCGCCCTCATACTTCTAACAGCACTCAAAACCATTGAGTGACTGCACAAAGACGACCACCACCAATTACCTGGGTTTTGACAACAGCTAAGCGTAGTATCTTTTAGCCTTTATATAAGAAAAAGAAGTGGTTAGAAGTTCACAAGACAAACCTGCATTTTTCAAATAAATTTTAGGAATAAAAAAACAAGTACAAATACTATCATTTTATTATAGTATCTATTATGCTAACTATTATATATTTAGTAACTTATTTGACATTTGTTTCTTTCTTTAGATAATGATAACCCGCCAATGACAAGGAATTCAAGAAACATGTTAAATATTCCTAATAATGTAAGTAAAAGTAATTGTTTCAATCTTCGTTTCATTACTGTGTTTGCTGAAAATTGATTTTTAATGTTTTAACTAGCTAAATTTTTAATTTAAAAAAAAAGATTTCTTTTTGATTATTTTTTAAATCATTACACATTATAGTCAAAATGGACTACATTATGTTAATGTTTAGCAACGTCATCACTTATTAAAGAACTAATCGGTTCATTAAAGATTCTACAAAAGTGTAGCATAAATATTACCTACAATCTTTCCACTAACTTTTTATGTAAATGCGTCGATATTCTTCTCAATCCTATTTTGATATTCTTTTGTAATGTGTTCTTTTGGTTTCCAAGATGTGTATTTGTGTGTTTTGAATCTCTCAATTGGATGCTTCTTTATCATAGTGAGTATCATTATGTCCAGTGAGACTTAAACTCTTCATCCATCTAACTACTAATTTCTGTGATTTGCCTAGTCGACTAAAGCAAATGGTCACAAAATTCACTTACTGGTGTATGTATTGACTATTCATCATTAGTTCAACTCAACATAATCATATTTCAGCCAGTATATTGTGTTTGTATAAACAGTGATACGGTAGAAGTAACTCACGATTACGTAGCTTGAAATATATATCATAAATACACTAAGTGCTAATCAGTATTCATGTAATGCTGTTTATCGTCATTCAACTAAATAAAAAGATAGAATCGCTGTGAAAATACTACCGCATTCGAAATTATGTGTGTAACAAGTATGCTCGATTTTATTCATACATTCTACCAAATATCAGGTATATAGAACGTAAATGTAGCTTCTTTTCAAACGATTTTGAGTTATGTCACTCAAAGTCTAACCATTGGTCACGATAATCACGCAGACCTCAACCAGGTAGTCTACACCTCTATCAACAGTACTAATTATTATTCGTTTAATTAATTGTGCATATGAACTGAATTTATGTGCTGTTATTTTTGATTTTTGTTGTTTTAGACGTCCGGAACTGATGTAATTGTAGTTGATACTCCTGATGACAATACGAGTAATAATGATGCCAAGAGTAATAATGAAACTATATCACAGGCACCTCATGAAACAGATACACTTGTAGCAGGTCGGCTTAATCGTTGGCAAGATCTGCAAGTATGTTGCTTTTTTATACATCAGTTTATTGTAATTATTACCACGTAACATGTTTACATCGGTCAATATCCTTACATTGATTAAAATCGTCGTCTTGTTTTTTAGTGATAGTCGAAATCATTTTATATGGATTGACTAATACAGTATTTGCTATTTGTCAACCTTCTTCTATAACTTAACAAAAAGCAGAGTATGGTAGTGAACGAAGACTGGATGGGGAAAACCAATTTATTTTTTAGTGCTAAATTACACAACACCTTAGTAAAATATGGGAATCGTACATTAAATACATTCTTTGCGTTGTTCTTCGCCTACTTCATTATTCCTTAGATTGTGTTATTATTTTGATTGCTCTCCGATTTCCTTTCTGTTCTCTTCAATTCAATCTTCTGCTGCTAGGCATTCCACTTCGGATTGCGGCTACATACTACTTATATCTGTGAGCGTAAGTAACATCCACCACGTGCAGCCGTTTCAGTCTGCCTATTGATCACATCACACTGCGTAGCCGATATATGCTTACGCAATTAATATATCTGTATTTGTTCTCGTCGTATATTTTCATAAAAATTCAAAATCTTATTCAGCACAACTATTGGAAAACTTCACATAAATGTGCAGTGATCCACAATGCTACACCATTCAGTATATAATATGTTGAATATTCATGATACAAATGACAGGTATGTGGTCGGTTCTTACGACATACCGATGAAAAACTTGATATAACAGATTTATTGTGAATCTATCTAGGTTATATCCTTGACTTTTTAATATTTCAAAGAATCCATCTTGTTGAAATATATAACTGTAAATTATATTTAAATGACATCTTGATTTAATCTTCCCTCAAATTCTTCGTTGCTAATTGGTGATTTAACCAACTATTCACTGTGTAATGAGTAGCTCTATTGAACAAATCAAAGGCTATCTAGCATGTTTCTTTGATTAATTTTTATAATCAGATTACTATATTGTTATTTTTCCTAGTATTGTTACAGGGTATGATTTAAAATATACAATTATCTCGTACTGTTTGCGTACAGTCATTACCTCAGCATTTATTAAATGACATTGAACACAAATCTGTATTGTATTGTACTGTATCCTGTCATAGGTTTTTGTTATACGACGGGTGGTTATCAAATTAGAAGTAAAAAGTCTTGGCCTTTTTCTAATCTTCAAGTTACATTTGGAAATTAATCTCCAGCCATTTTCTTCCAAGTTTTGATTTTTGCAAAAGTTTGCGAAACCATCACTTAATAAAAAAGTTCAGGACTGTAAGAGTTCCTGACAGTCAGATTTCTAAGGTTTTGAAGGATATTAGTTAGTGCTTTTCAAATGGTCAGTTTACTGATCTATATCCTAATTCCTAGTTTAATCACCTGCGTCTTTAGTAAAGCCATCTCAAGATTAAATGTGATAACAAATATATCTATAGAGATGGTTGAATTTTACGATTAACATCAGCAGCAGCAGCAGCCTCTGTATCAGTAGGCCTCAACATATACAAGGGAAAAAGCAAGATCTTCAAATACACCACAGAACACCAACCCAATCACACCCAATGAAAAAGCTCTGAAACTGGTGGAAAGTTTCACGTACCTGGTCAACACAATTGATGAATAAGAATGATCTGATGCAGACGTAAATGCAAGGATTGGCGAAGCAAGGGCGGCATTTCTACAGTTGAAGAACATATGAAACTCAAAACAACAGTCTACAAGCCAACATCAATGTCAGAATCTTCAATACGAACGTGAAGACAGTTCTACCATAAGGAGCTGAAATTTGGAAAACTACCACAACCATCATCAGAAAAGTGCAAGTATTTATAAACAATTGTCTACGCTAGATACTGAATGTCCGTTGGCCGGATACCATCAGCAACAATCTACTATGGGATAGAAAAAACCAGGTTCCATCTGAGGAGGGATTTAGGAAAAGACGCTAGAAGTGGATGGGACATACATTACGGAAAACACCAAACTGCATCATGAGGCAAGCGCTAACTTGGAATCCTGAAGGGAAGCGGAAAAGAGGAAGACTAAAGGACACACTGCATCGGAAATCGGAAGCAAGTGGAATGAATTTCCGAGGACAGAGTTGAATGGAGAACGCTAGTGGAAGACCTATTCTCTTCTACGAGGGAAACAGGCGTAAGTACATATTGATCTTAACAAAGCAACCACTAAAATTTAGGAAGCATTGGGCAAATACTTCGCCCTAGTATGGAACTCTTCATGAGTGCACATCCCTTGCCCTACTGGGAATCGAACTCAAGAACCTCAGGCGCCCAGCCTTCAAACCACGGGGGCGGTATCCATATGTTTAACTCCTGTTAATTCCCCATATTGTGTAATTTAGTATTTAGGTTGGTCTAGCGCTTTTATTATTGTTATTATTTATTATTATTACTTGTCAGTATACATTATATGTTTACGAATTCATGTGAAATGTGGCTTGAAAAATTTACGTCATTGTAATTACGTAGGCCATTTAAATATTTTTCAGATTGTGTATATGTATATGTATTCATTGACCAGTCAGAAAATTATCATGAAATTAACTCGCTTCATAACAACTGTTGGAAAAAGGCAATAACATATTGCTAAATTATTACAATCTGTTCAGACCACAATTTGGACACATTCATCCGAATCTATTTAATTAGTTCAATAAAATACAGTTAACTGATAGAAATTCGATTATATATATATTCAAGATTTGAGAGAAAGTTATGGTATTTTTAATTGGATGTTGTTGAATAATAGTTTGGTTGTTTAGGTACTTAACTTTCAGCTACTTAGTCTCGGGTTCGAACCCTATTCCATCTTCAATTTTAATGAATCCATGCGGTGTTATTGGCTTTTTTGAATAGTATCTGGTTTTGTTCCGTTGTGAAGTAATTCACAGTAATTCTGAATTACTAACGATTGAACGATTCTCCTAATAAGAAACCGATCCAACGCGAGCTGCATAGATGGGACAATGAATACTCAAAACTTCAAGAATAATCCCCTACTTTAGTGAAGTAGGGAAATTGCTTGATATTACAGTATGTTGAAATTGCAATGGAACAACTCAGTTTATGTAGCAATAGCCGTGACCTTGGAATAACAAGACAATAAACTAAAAGCACAAACCAATCCGGTAGCAACAGAGGTTGGTGGGGTGTTATGATGCGGAAAAAATTATCAAGGTTGTTTTTTGTCCGTTATAACGACGATTTATTAATAAAATATGAAAAAAAGATAATTTTAGGTTTCCTTAAATGATCCACATCCGGATTTACGAATCCGTTTTCGGTTTCTGATTTGTGTGGAAAGATTTTCTAATTTACACCAGGTGAAATGGCATCTGCATACTGTACAACTCGTCTTTATTATTTGTGTATTCAGTCAATAAGAAAAGATTATATTTATTTCATCATTCATAGATTGGATTATTGGCTGATTTATTACATGTGCGTTAAAATCATTTTATCCTGGTCATATCACATCTGTGTTGAAGTTCACAGTTACAATGTTTACTCATGAGAATACACGTGGATCATTGAGGGACTATTGTAATCACGATCTGAACGTAGCTGAATATGATGATATGCAATTAGTTTAACTTTTTTTTGGCCTAACATGCAAATGATTAGAAGAAATAAGATTTACACTAGGAAGCTTATCTTATCAATAGTCATTTACTTAGATGAGTGCCAATTAAAGATGACTCCTGCCCAATAGTATGCATTATCTCTATATACCATAATAAATCGAAGACATTGTCAAATCAAACAATAATCGATTTATGTATTATCTTTCTGATTAACCATTGTTGAAATCATTCGTTGTAAAGATATAACGACTGGTAGGTTCAGTCGTTTTCAACTATTATCAATATTCATTTCAATATTTAATGTGCATTTGTTCTTTACCTCTACCCTATTCTGACTATTGTTTTAACAGGCAGATTTAATTGATCGTGACTCAAAGGGCGTAAAACTTGGTTTAGGCGATTTTGTATTTTATAGTTTATTGATTGGTCGCGCAACACTTGATGGCGATGCAGTCACAGTGGTCACATGTTATGTGGCTATACTAGTTGGAATGTGTATTACTGTCATAGTATTGGGAATTACACGACAAGCATTACCAGCTTTACCAATATCCATAACATGTGGTATATTATTTTATTTTGTCAGTTCAGCAACAATATCACCGTTTCTTGAAGCAACAGCAGTTGAACGTGTGTTCTTCTGAAATGATCTATTATTATTATTGTTATTATTATTATAATTATTGCCACCACAGCTGTTATTATGATTGTTTTTTCTTGTTTTTATACAATCTTCAATGTTACCGTTGACTTGGAATACTCATTGATGATTTATCACCTGTCATTTTTATGTTTAATATCCAACTTTTAATTGTGAATTTTAGATCCAAAATTATAATTATAAATTTTCAAAGAATTTTTATTCAATAATACAAGTATTTTAAGATAAAAACATGTCTTGGAAATTCTACTAATATATAGTCAAATTTAATAATGGTGTTGTATTCCAGCGATTTTTATGATCAATTGTAAATCAACGAATCATAAGCGAAAATAACATTTCATTCACCTTAGTTTTATTGCATGGATATACAATATAATCTAATTATAGTAAATTATGTGAAGATGTTGGAAAGAATTTCATATTTATCTAAACTCATCAAAGGGAACTACTGTAATTTGTTGAATAATCCGGCGCTGGATTCAAGTCCAGTATAGTGTACCTTGTTAATAATCCATTGTTTGGAAAAAGCATTATTTGTTCCCACTTTACAGAATCATAATTGACATACTTAAAGAGTCCACGTGATACAACATAACACTCATTTTAAGAGAAAAATTCTCACTAATCTAAGAAAAGAATTTGTAGGTACTTTTAGGAAAGAATTAAAATTCTTCAACTCACAGATAGAATCATTAAACGTACTAGTTTGTTTGTTTTTTTTTTCACAAGGAAATTCAATTACCTTGTGATGAAGGCATTTTTCTCATAAATTATTTCGTACAACATACGTAATACTTATTTTCAGCCAAAAACAAATAACCAAACAGAAGTCACAAGATTCATCAAAGAAATATTTATAAGTATAATAATAATTAGTTAATTAATCATGACTAGAATAGAAACAAACAACAGTTAGGCCGTAAACAGTAGTGTAAATCTCTCGTGATCAATTGGTATGTATGTATATTACTAGATGAGAAACGGAAAGCAAAATAAAACCACAAGGATATTAAGTTATTTATCTCAAGAAAATGACCTTTTTATCATGATGAATAGTTTAAGAAAGAGGATTTATGTGAAATTTTTCACGAAATAGATAGTAATTACATGGTATTGATGGGACTTTATGTCGTTATAAATCTGCTAGTGTAATATGTTTATATCATCTGAAAATACATGTTATATTAGTTTGATAGTCTGATTTCATCAAACTGAACTATGATGACAAGTAATCAGATTGATCCAATTGTGTATTGTATGTTATTAATCAAGTCTCTGATTTTAGCAACATCATTTTATTAGAAGTTAATGTGCTTATTGAATTTTGTTTTGTTTTGCTTTGATTGTAATGAATATAGGTTGAGTAGACAAATGATCACTAAGCACAAATGGGTATAAAACTTTTGTAACAAAAGTTAGGATGAGGTACGTCTTATTACGATGTCTGATTTATAGTTTTTAAGAGTTTTTTTCCCTAATCTACGCAATCTTTCGAGGCTTAGGAAGAATAATTTAAAGTGGCTTTGTCAACATTACCATCTTATATTTATCATAAACCTTCTGATAGAGACTATTCTGATTACCTGAGAATTTTCTAAGATCAATTTCTTACTAAGATAAATTAGCCGTAGGAATCAAATTCACTATGAAGTTGGAAGTCCTATCTTCCTCACCAATAATCAGGTGTTTGAAATGCCTTTCAGATGTATCAAATATTGTGCGTTTCTCTGTGGTGATATATGATAAAAAAGAATTGGAGTTGCTATATGTTTACTCCACTTTCATCATTTAAACATCATCACTGGTGGGCTAATTGGGGACGAAATATTTGATTGCTTAGTATTTATTATACTGTAACAGTGAGATATCCCACTATATATCACATCATTTATAATATTCATGTCAATTTGTTACTACAATGCTATGAGTCGTTTTTAGAGTGGAAGATGTTCGTGCTAACATCTCAATATAGCTATAACAAAATCCTAGATATAATAATTTAAAATCACCAAACTAAAATCTTTGAAAGTGAGTACATTTCTAATCAAGGAGAATGGATTTATCCGGACAGCTTAGTTATATGTTGTTGTCGATTCATTTATTCAGATGATTAATTCCTAGTTAAAATGAAGTTAGAGGGAAGCTATTGGTCAGACGATTATACTATTCGCGTATTGTTAGATTAGGTAAACGACTTGACGTTAAATGATTTTGTTTCAGTTAAAGAAGGGTATCGATTTGATGTACTGGTTAACAATTATTAATGTTAATCAAAGTGATATGACATTTGTTTGGAGATTTTTTTCAAAACATACGAAATCAACATAAAAAAACATGTGACAAATTAACTTATTATAATTTTATACATACAGAAGTAAAAACCCCTATTAATCAATACAATCGTTACCACTGCAATGGGTATATTGTTTGTATAAAGTTGTTGTATTATGCAAATAATATAAGTTTTCCTGAAGAATTGTTTAAAATGGCTAATCAGATTCAAAGTAGCTGTTCGTCGATTGTTAACCCCGTACTTCATGTGACTTTTAACACAGGTAAGATTATCGATGTGAATAATTCATTCGCAAACCAAAGATTTGATTAGTATATCAAACAAAGTTACTTGAATCTAAGGTTTCATATGTTACTTTACTAAGATTTCCATCACAGAGGTAGTAAGATTTTTTATAACTCGAGATATTTTGTTTAATTGTTACTCTAATATAACTGATCATTGAAAGTTTACATAAATTTCCAGGTTCATAACACCAATTTGAAAGTTGATTTGCATGAAATCAATATATTTTAATATTCAATCAAGATTTCGTGAAATAATTCTCACTAATTAACCAATACTTTTCCGTAATACAATTACTAGTTAAAACAGGATTATCACATTTTATAAGTTGTTAGGAAGAATTTAAATAATCATTTGGTTGATATTCTTAACTAAATTTTGTCCAGTCTTTGTCGGCATATTTACACTTAGTGGAGATTGATTTGACGTAAACATTTTGTCACAAGTGTTTTTACTGAATGAATAGATTATGTTCAGCAATGGGATCCAGAATGTATCTCGCCCTGTTTAGGAATTGCCAGTTGTATGTAGTTATATTGCTGCATAAGAAATTTGTGATCAGTATGTTAGTTGTGTTATTTTGTTTTCATCTAAGATAAAAATTGGAACACAATTCCGACTATTTTATATTCATATTCATAATTAACTAGAAAGTAAATTTATTGAATGATTAATAATCTGAATATTTCTGTGTGATGTTTTTCTTAGTATTTTTTATTCAAGTTAAGTGTTTGTTGTTGTTGTTACTTTTCTTCTTCCTCTATTTCTTCTCTCATAATAATATAAACAATCTTGATTATAATTATGTGAAAACAATACTTATAGTTGAATTTCATTTTGTACTTCCCCTTTTAAATGTTAGGGAAGAAAGAAATAGTGGGAATATTGAATGAAAGGAAAAACACTTGTAATTGATGACTTCCTTTTTTTAAACAAAATGTTTTTACTACCAATTTAGTCAATTTGAATATCTGATAGAAAAACGTGAAAGTAAATAATGATGTGTATCTATACGCGTACGGGTGTTTTCACTGTTCAGTTAATTTATTGTACACGGTATATTGCGCCAATATTCCATTCATTTTAAATGAATTCTGTATATAAGAACATAATTTTCATTGGGTTTTTCATCTGTAGCTCTTACTTTCAACAAATTTGTATTTTCCATCCAGCATTATTGGGATGTATTACATTGGCGTGTTCAAAGCAAATAACTTGAGATGGTTAAAGTAAAAAAATACTCCAAAGAAAATTGCACTGCCATATTTACTAGAAATATTCTCAAAAGTACCGCACATCTACTGAACACTGAGAAACAGCCGCATTTATATATATATATATATATATTTCTCGCTTGATTTCAGCAAGACAAAAATTACTTGTTACGGGGTAATCGTCTTAGCATTAGCAACACACACTTTAGGACCTACGTGATATAATTACTTGCATTGAAAAAGCAAATTATAACCCTACTGTAATGTAATTATTTGATGTTGGAAAGTAGACAACTATTTCTTTATACGGATTTTAAAGGCGAATGTTTTCGTCCTGATACTTGAAAATCGTAGTTTTGATTGTTTAAATTGATAATGGTATGCATGATTGAGGAACAAAGTATAAGCTTTCCTTGATACTGTCAATATATTAAGAGTCTACAAAATCCTCGCAAACTGGTTCATTGGACAAAATTTTGTAGACTTCCAAAGCAACTGTGTCACGAATTGGTATTCAAGGATTCATGATTGAGGAAAATAAAATACTTCAAAGTTTAATAATGACACAAGCAACTATATAAATGTTATTTTTTTAAGAATAATGTTTGAAATACTAAAATATGTGAATATTTTGCCTACTTTTATCATACATGTAGTTATTATTAGCTTTATTCAATATTATATTTTTGGTTCAATATAGAATTCTCAGCGCAAAGTATTTCAACAAGTTTCCTTCGGTTATTTCTTGATCGATTCTGACGATAAATATTGAGTGCTAGCCTGTTAGATGTTAGGAGTTCGGTAATCAACATCTAAATAATGTTCATTTGTTTCAATGTATATTACCAGCCACCTTGATTTCGCTGATTGTACCTTTTTGTAACCTGTACAGCGAAATATTGTAAACTTTTCATAGGTTGTGCGCTCAATAGACATGATGATGTGTTAAAACAAACAAGAAAACAGATAACTTGTCGAAATATCTAGATGGGAGGAACAGGTAGCCCAGATATTCAAGGAGGCCGTCGATTATTCGTTCGAAATGGAATTAACCTATGATAAATATACTTTTCAAATATGTAAAATGTGTGTATATATAAATCACTTGTCACAATATAATTTCCATCAAAAACTTGACAACAACTTCAGAACTGTCGAAACTAAGAACTTAATTACTAACATATCTAGTTCATGATTCTTCTTTGTTGCTTACTCGTGACTCAGCACTGAATTAGAATCACTATATTCAGGTCTCATGATAAATATGATACTTTTAAAATTGAGTAAATAAAAATTCAACAGCACATATCTTGGTGTTCAGTTAGATTTGTTATACATCAAAATACCTATCCGATGTCTACTTAACCATCTTAGTATGCACTGATTTATTCCCATTAAACATTTATGAATTTTAGACAGGCATCTATCTGAATAAAACTTAACAAACATCTGTTTAATGAGTCCTGTTTCCTGTCAGAAAGTAAAGGCTCAACTGTCACTGTTAGGAAATGTTCATTTTAATTCTGGTTCTATTATATGATTACTGCACAATAATAAACAACTTTTAAATATTTTTGCTTAGTTTACGTCTATTTTATGAATGCATGTT